CCTGCCCCCACAGCCAGCTCTTTCTCCAGCCTCGCACGGTCCCCCCCAGCCCGTGCCCCGCTGTGTCTCTGCCTCATCCCTGCTGGGCTCCTGGGTCCCGGCTGCACCGAACCCGGCTCCCCCCATGGGCTCCGCTCCCAGCGCAGCAGCAGGATCCGACCCTCACCCGTGTTCCCCTGAGCTCTGCTCCGAGGGGGCAGCAGGATCCGACCCTCACCGTGTTCCCCTGAGCTCTGCTCCGAGGGGGCAGCAGGATCCGACCCTCACCCGTGTTCACCTGAGCTCTGCTCCAGGGGCAGCAGGATCCGACCCTCACCCGTGTTCACCTGAGCTCTGCTCCGAGGGGGCAGCAGGATCCGACCCTCACCCGTGTTCCCCTGAGCTCTGCTCCGAGGGGGCAGCAGGATCCGACCCTCACCCGTGTTCCCCTGAGCTCTGCTCCGAGGGGGCAGCAGGATCCGACCCTCACCCGTGTTCCCACTCTGCCGAGGGGCACAGCCCCTCCCGGTTCCCTGAGCTCTGCTCCGAGGGGGCAGCAGGATCCGACCCTCACCCGTGTTCCCCTGAGCTCTGCTCCGAGGGGGCAGCAGGATCCGACCCTCACCCGTGTTCCCCTGAGCTCTGCTCCGAGGGGGCAGCGGATGCCTCACCCGTGTTCCCCTGAGCTCTGCTCCGAGGGGGCAGCAGGATCCGACCCTCACCCGTGTTCCCCTGAGCTCTGCTCCGAGGGGCAGCAGGATCCGACCCTCACCCGTGTTCCCCAGCTCTGCTCCGAGGGGGCAGCAGGATCCGACCCTCACCCGTGTTCCCCTGAGCTCTGCTCCGAGGGGAGCAGCCGACCCTCACCCGTGTTCCCCTGAGCTCTGCTCCGAGGGGGCAGCAGCAGGATCCGACCCTCACCCGTGTTCCCCTGAGCTCTGCTCCGAGGGGGCAGCAGGATCCGACCCTCACCCGTGTTCCCCTGAGCTCTGCTCCGAGGGGGCAGCAGGATCCGACCCTCACCCGTGTTCACCTGAGCTCTGCTCCGAGGGGGGCAGCAGGATCCGACCCTCACCCGTGTTCACCTGAGCTCTGCTCCGAGGGGCAGCAGGATCCGACCCTCACCCGTGTTCCCCTGAGCTCTGCTCCAGGGGGCAGCAGGATCCGACCCTCACCCGTGTTCCCCAGCTCTGCTCCGAGGGGGCAGCAGGATCCGACCCTCACCCGTGTTCACCTGAGCTCTGCTCCGAGGGGGCAGCAGCAGGATCCGACCCTCACCCGTGTTCACCTGAGCTCTGCTCCGAGGGGGCAGCAGGATCCGACCCTCACCCGTGTTCCCCTGAGCTCTGCTCCGAGGGGGCAGCAGCAGGATCCGACCCTCACCCGTGTTCCCCTGAGCTCTGCTCCGAGGGGGCAGCGGATCCGACCCTCACCCGTGCTCACCTGAGCTCTGCTCCAGGGGGCAGCAGCAGGATCCGACCCTCACCCGTGTTCCCGAGCTCTGCTCCGAGGGCAGCAGCAGGATCCGACCCTCACCCGTGTTCCCCTGAGCTCTGCTCCAGGGGCAGCAGGATCCGACCCTCACCCGTGCTCACCGAGCTCTGCTCCGAGGGGGCAGCAGGATCCGACCCTCACCCGTGTTCACCTGAGCTCTGCTCCGAGGGGGCAGCAGGATCCGACCCTCACCCGTGTTCCCCTGAGCTCTGCTCCGAGGGGGCAGCAGGATCCGACCCTCACCCGTGCTCACCTGAGCTCTGCTCCGAGGGGCAGCAGCAGGATCCGACCCTCCCGTCCCCTGAGCTCTGCTCCAGGGGCACAGCAGGATCCGACCCTCACCCGTGTTCCCCTGAGCTCTGCTCCAGGGGGCGCAGATCGTCACCCGTGTTCCCCAGCTCTGCTCCGAGGGGCAGCAGCAGGATCCGACCCTCACCCGTGTTCCCCTGAGCTCTGCTCCGAGGGCAGCAGGATCCAACCTCACCCGTGTCCCTGAGCTCTGCTCCGAGGGGGCAGCAGGATCCGACCCTCACCCGTGTTCACCTGAGCTCTGCTCCGAGGGGAGCAGGATCCGACCCCCCGTGTTCCCCTGAGCTCTGCTCCGAGGGGGCAGCAGGATCCGACCCTCACCCGTGTTCACCTGAGCTCTGCTCCGAGGGGAGCTCTGCTCCGAGGGGGGCAGCAGGATCCGACCCTCACCCGTGTTCACCTGAGCTCTGCTCCGAGGGGGGGCAGCAGGATCCGACCCTCACCCGTGTTCACCTGAGCTCTGCTCCGAGGGGCAGCAGCAGGATCCGACCCTCACCCGTGCTCACCTGAGCTCTGCTCCGAGGGGTCCCTGCCTGCACCGGGGGCAGCAGCACCCGCGGGGCCGGGTCCCGGCATCAGCTCCCATAGGAAGAGCTGCGAGCCCCAGAGCGGGGGCTGCAGGGGCGGGGCAGGAGCCTCGGGGTGCCGGGGGAGACACAGCGGGGACGGACCCGTGCCCAGGGATGCCCCCGTACCCAGGGATGTCCCCGTACCCAGGGATGTCCCCGTACCCAGGGATGCGCCCGTACCCAGGGATGCCCCCGTACCCAGGGATGTCCCCGTACCCAGGGATGCTCCCGTACCCAGGGATGTCCCCGTACCCAGGGATGCGCCCGTACCCAGGGATGCGCCCGTACCCAGGGATGCGCCCGTACCCAGGGATGTCCCCGTACCCAGGGATGCTCCCGTACCCAGGGATGTCCCCGTACCCAGGGATGCGCCCGTACCCAGGGATGCTCCCGTACCCAGGGATGCGCCCGTACCCAGGGATGTCCCCGTCCCCAGGGATGCGCCCGTACCCAGGGATGCCCCCGTACCCAGGGATGTCCCCGTACCCAGGGATGTGCCCGTACCCAGGGATGCGCCCGTACCCAGGGATGTGCCCGTACCCAGGGATGTGCCCGTACCCAGGGATGCGCCCGTACCCAGGGATGTGCCCGTACCCAGGGATGTCCCCGTACCCAGGGATGTCCCCGTACCCAGGGATGTCCCCGTACCCAGGGATGTCCCCGTACCCAGGGATGTGCCCGTCCCCAGGGATGTCCCCGTCCCCAGGGATGTCCCTGTGCCAGGCCCCATCCCCGGGCACCAGCAGTGCTGAGCGGCCACCTCCAGCGCCACCACCGCCCGGCTCCAGCCCCAGCCTCACCCAGCACCCAGGGATCTGCATCCTGCACCCAGCCCCATCCTTCATGGTCACATCCTGCACCCAGCCGGGGTCCTGGCCGGGCTGTGGGCACCACACAGGGTCCAGCCGAGCTCTCAAACTCCTCAGTGCTTTATTTCAGCAGCACCCGCAGGCACGCACTGGGGGTGCATGGACCTGACCCACACAGCGGGGCCCACACGGCAGGACACGCACCAGAGCACCCATGGGCACCAAGCACAGCACCGCAGGGTACCAAGCACAGCACCGCAGGGTACCAAGCACAGCACCGCAGGGCACTGCAGCCATGGGTACCGAGCACAGCACCGCAGGGCACTGCAGCCATGGGCACCGAGCACAGCACCGCAGGGCACTGCACCCATGGGCACCGAGCACAGCACCGCAGGGCACTGCAGCCATGGGTACCAAGCACAGCACCACAGGGTACCAAGCCCAGCACCTTCCTGCAGGAGGAGGCTCTGGCCAAGCCCCAGGAGCTCAGGGATGAGCCCTGGACGTGCCAAGGGAGCGCTGGTGCTGGCTTATGAGGGCGCTCCAGGGACCTTCCCGATGCAGCGGGGGGGGGGGGGCTGAGCTCTGCACGCTCCGGGTTCCCCAAGTTCCACACAGCTCCTGCTGTGGGCAGGCTCAGCCCTGGCCCCTGCCTGCATCCTTGCCTTCATCCTTGCCTGCATCCTTGCCTGCATCCCTGCCTGCATCCTTGCCTGCATCCTTGCCTGCATCCCTGCCTGCATCCTTGCCTTCATCCTTGCCTGCATCCCTGCCTGCATCCTTGCCTGCATCCCTGCCTGCATCCCTGCCTGCATCCCTGCAGGAGCCAGCCCTGCGCCACCTCTCCAGGCACAGCACCAGCTCCCCGGAGCCTCCCAGTGCAGGATGCGGCAGCTTCCCCCTGTGCCACAGCCCCTGTGAGCTCCAGTGCTGCCGCTCCAGCCGCCAGCAGTGCAGAGCAGGGCCACACTGACAGCACCCATGCACACAGTGGCACCATCCCTGGGCCAGCCCCCAGAGCCCAGCAGCACCTCCCTCCCAGCAGCTGCAGCCCCACCGAACCCCATCTCAAGCCCCACAGGTCCGGGGAAGCAGGGGGAGCTCACAGAGCCCCTCCAGCCCAGCCCATGCGCCTGCGCTTGCACTGGAGCCCAGCACCCTGCTCGCTGCAGGGGGCTGCTGGCACAGGCAGGGGCGCTCCGGGGGTCTCCTGTGCCCCATGTCCCACACTGGTGCTCTCCTGCTCCGCTCCTGTGCAGCCGTGCATGGGCCAGCACCCTCCTCCCAGCAACACCAGCACGGGATGGATGGAGAGCAGCGCCCACCACGGCTCCTGTGCTCACCCCACGCTTGGGAGGAAGCCGGGGGGCGCAGCCCCAGCATGGGGCCAGCTCTGTCCCAGCTGCACAACGGGTTCCCAACAGGTCACAGCTGGGGCTGCCCCATTCTGAGGCTGCAGCAGAGGTGCAGCGGCACCAAGGCCTTGTCCCGAGGCTGCTCCGAGAAGTCACCAGCTCCTTTTGAGGGCCTCGGCCAAGGCTGGAGGAGGAGCCCTGAGCCCAGGCAGGGCCAGGCTGGTCCCCTGTGTCCCTGGGAGCAGGAGCCCGCTCTGCCCACAGCATCCTCCACGGAAGCAGGGAGCAGGCTCCCACCTCCATCCCCTGCCCATCCCAGCAGGCAGCAGGGAGCCAGGACAGGGGCTCCGCAGCAAGAGCCCCCAGCTCTGCTCCAAGAGCTCCAGGCGCAGGCAGGGACCATGGGCAGACACTTGGGAGGCCCAGGACCCCACAGAATCCTTGTGGCAGCTCCACAGCAAAGGTCCTGGGGCCAGGAGGAGGGAAGGGGCTCTGCCCCCCTGCAGCCTGCTAGAAGTGCTTGTCCTCCAGCAGCGAGCTCACCACCAGCTCCTTGTTGCCGAAGTCCCAGAAGGCGGTCATGTGGAAGGCCATGTTGGAGAGCACCACCAGGTACTCCAGGAAGGCGAAGATGGTGTATACTGGGGGGAAAGAGCATGGGATGGAGGGCACCTGCGGCAGGGATGCCCTGGGTACCCAGGGCTGCTCTCCTGCCCCTTCCCCATGTGCATCCCCATACCCAGCCATGCCGGGGCCTCACCTCCGGGCCCGCAGTACCAGTTGTGGTGGAAGTAGACGCAGACGGCGAAGGCAAACGTGATGAAGGTGAAGAAGAAGAGGAGCTGCTTCCACTTGTAGGACTTGCGCTCCTGGCAGGGGGCAGGAGACAAGAGATGGGTGAGCTCCCTGCCCGGCTCCCAGGGGCTGCCCCGCATGCAGACACCCCGAGGCCTCAGTGGACACTGGAGAAGCCACCCCTGCCTCCAGAAAGCTCTGTCCTGGCCCCAGCAGGGCATGGGAAGGTACCAGGAGCTCCACAGCACAGAAGCATGGAATCACAGCCTGGTTTGGTTGGAAGGGTGCTTAAATCCCATCCATCTCCAACCCCTGCCACAGGCAAGGACCCCTTCCACTGGAGCAGCTTGCTCCAAGCCCCTGTGTCCAACCTGCCCTTGAGCACTGCCAGGGATGGGGCAGCCACAGCTTCTCTGGGCACCCTGTGCCAGTGCCTCAGCACCCTCACAGGGAAGAGCTTCATCCCAATGTCCCATCTAACTCTTCCCTCTTCCAGGTTGAAGCCATTCCTCCTCATCCCATCCCTGCATCCCTTGTCCCAAGCCCCTCTCCAGCTTTCCTGCAGCCCCTTTAGGCACTGGAGCTGCTCTCAGGTCTCCCCATAGCACAGCAGAGGGGCAGGATCCCCTCCCTGCGCTGCTGCTCACACTCTGGAGGTGCACCCAGCACAGGGGGGGGGTCTGTGCTCAAGCGCTCACTGAGGCTGGGTCATGGGGGGCTGCTCCTCACCAGCACCCCAAGTCCTCCTCCTCAGGCTCCATCCCTGGGTTTGGGCTGGGATCGCCCCCACCAGGGCAGGGCCTTGCCCTTGGCTGCCTGAGCTCCAGGAGGCTCCCATGGTGCCAGCCCAGCTCCCTGGGGATGCTGCCCTGGTGCTGGTGCCCAGGGCTCCCCCTCAGGGTCGGCCCCGCGGGTGCTGCAGGAACTCACCGGTACTGGGAGCAGGAAACCACATCAAGAGCTGCAGCTGGGGCGGGCGCTGCACCCACACTGCACAGGGCGCCTGGCACTGGGCCCCATCCTGCCCCAGCACCCCCCCTCCAGCACAGTGAGGGGTGCAGGGCACGGGGCTGCTGCAGAGCACCCCCATTGCACAGCAGAGCTGGGCTGGCAGAGCCTGCCCCTGCCTGCATGGGGCTCCCCAAACCCATCACCCTGTACCAGCACCCCTAAAGCTGGGGCTGTGGGCGCAGTCCCCACCCGCTCTCCCATCACCCATCATGGGTAATGGAACCCAGAGCCCTGCAGTGAGCAGGGACTCCCAGGGGCACCCGGACATGGGGATGATGCACCCGGTGTCACCATCCCAGTGCAGGGCACCAAGGGCTGGGGCAGGGGGGGTGGAACCGAGGGCTCAGGGCCATACAGGGGCTGTGCTGCTGGTCCTGCTCCGGGGTGGGAGGGGGCTTTCCCCCTCGCTGATGTTTCCACAGCCCCATCTGCTGCAGCGCTGCTGAGCAGGAGGAGGAGGAGGAGGAGGATTCCCCTCGCCCCATCACAGTTTCCATTGCCCCAGAAAGCTCAAAGCAGCCGGAGGAGGAACCGGGTCCTGCAGGAGGAAAACCCAGAGGGGCAGGGCAGCCCCAGGCACCTTGACCCGCTGGGACATGCGCAGGCCAGGGCCCTTCCTGCTTGGGCTGAGGAGCTCTGACAGCAGCTCCTGGGGCAGCCCCTTTGAACCCCTGCAGACCTGGTCCAGCTCTGGGGCAGCAGCACAGGAGGGACCTGGAGCTGATGGAGCGAGTGCAGAGGAGGGCACGGAGCTGCTGCGAGGGCTGGAGCAGCTCTGCCCTGGAGCCAGGCTGAGAGAGCTGGGCTGGGGCAGCCTGGAGAAGAGAAGGCTCCTGAAGGGGAGACCTGAGAGCAGCTCCAGTGCCTAAAGGGGCTGCAGGGAACCTGGAGAGGGGCTTGGGACAAGGGCCTGTAGGGCCAGGCCAAGGGGAATGGCTTGAACCTGCCCGAGGGGAGGCTGAGCTGAGCTCTTAGGCAGGAGCTCTTCCCTGTGAGGGTGCTGAGGCGCTGGCACAGGGTGCCCAGAGAAGCTGTGGCTGCCCCATCCCTGGCAGTGCTCAAGGCCAGGTTGGACACAGGGGCTTGGAGCAAGCTGCTCCAGTGGAAGGGGTCCCTGCCTGTGGCCGGATGAGCTCCAGGCTCCCTGCACCCCAATCCCGGGCGCTCCCCTGCTGACCCCCCATGCTCGCGGGGCCGGGCGAGGGCTGGGGCGCTGCGGGTTTCAGACCGGAAGCGGGGCCCGAAGAGCCCGAGCAGCGGCTGCGGAAACGGCGGCGCCCGGAGAGCGGCTCCCACCGGCAGCAATGGGAGCAGCAACTCCAGTGCCCTGCACTGCACCGGGTCATAGAGAGATAGAGCAATAGAGCACCGCACTGCACCGGGTCATAGAGATAGAGCAATAGAGCACTGCACTGCACCGGGTCATAGAGATAGAGCAATAGAGCACTGCAGTGCACCGCACCGGGTCATAGAGAGATAGAGCACTGTACTGCACTGCACTGGGTCATAGAGAGATAGAGCAATAGAGCACTGCACTGCACTGGGTCATAGAGAGATAGAGCAATAGAGCACTGCACTGCACTGGGTCATAGAGAGATAGAGCAATAGAGCACTGCACTGCACTGGGTCATAGAGAGATAGAGCAATAGAGCACTGCACTGCACTGGGTCATAGAGAGATAGAGCAATAGAGCACTGCACTGCACTGGGTCATAGAGTGATAGAGCACTGCACTGCACTGCACTGGGTCATAGAGCAGTAGAGCACCGCACTGCACCGGGTCATAGAGCAATAGAGCACTGCACTGCACTGGGTCATAGAGCAACAGAGCACAGACCTGCCCTGGGTCATAGAGCAATAGAGCACTGAACTGCACTGCACCGGGTCATAGAGAGACAGAGCACTGCACTGCACTGGGTCATAGAGCAACAGAGCACTGCACTGGACCATAACAGCACTGCACCGGGTCATAGTGCAACAGAGCACAGACCTGCTCTGGGTCATAGAGCAACAGAGCACTGCACTGGGTCATATACAATCTGTTCTGTAATAATCCCAACCCCATCAGCCATGCTCTCCAGGCCGCTCCCAAGTGCTGGCTCTGCTCCTGGACCTTCCCTTCCAGGGGACAGCAGCACAAGGGGACCCCAGCAATGCCTTCACTGGCACCGAGGGGCAGGGGCAGCAGCGCAGCGAGCAGGGGCCGGGCTCCCCCCGAGCGGCCCCACTGCCTCTGTGCCTGCTGCAGGACAGGCCCAGCAGGACCCGGCTGCACTGGGGGCTGCAGCAGCCGCAGGGACACGGGGCTGGGCCAGGGGCAAACCCGGCTGCAGAGCAGCAGTGAAAGCCTCTGCTCTGCTCTGCTCTGCTCGGGGGGGTCCCCAGGAGGCAGCGGGGGCAGGGGGGCACCCCCAGAGCAGCCCTGGCAGCAGAGAGGGCACCCCCAGAGCAGCCCTGGCAGCAGAGAGGGCACCCCCAGAGCAGCCCCGGCAGCAGAGAGGGCACCCCCAGAGCAGCCCTGGCAGCAGAGAGGGCACCCCCAGAGCAGCCCTGGCAGCAGAGAGGGCACCCCCAGAGCAGCCCCTGGCAGCAGAGAGGGCACCCCCAGAGCAGCCCTGGCAGCAGAGAGGGCACCCCCAGAGCAGCCCTGGCAGCAGAGAGGGCACCCCCAGAGCAGCCCTGGCAGCAGAGAGGGCACCCCCAGAGCAGCCCCGGCAGCAGAGAGGGCACCCCCAGAGCAGCCCCGGCAGCAGAGAGGGCACCCCCAGAGCAGCCCCTGGCAGGCCCCAAGGCCCCGGCTGCTGCCTCCAGCCCAGAGCTGCCCCCTCTCTGCCCCCAGGGCCCCTCCTCCCTGAGCTCTCCCCTCTGCTTTGCCCCTTCCTTCCCCTCCTCCTCCTCGGAGCCTTCCTCCCCTCCCCTCTGCTCCCCTTCCCCTCCCCTTCTCTCCCCCTTTGCCGCCTGCAGCTGGACCCCGCCTGCACTTCCCCATCTCGGCCCCGTTCCTCAGCACCCTCCTGCCCTCGCCCAGAGGCCCCTGCAGCACCAGCCCCAGCGCCGAGGCTGCTGCAGGACCCGTTCCTGTCCCTCCCCCTGCAGCAGCACTGCTGGGAACTGCACTGCGGGGCTGCACCAGAGCCTGAGCCCTGCTGGCCTGGAGCAGGAGGAAGGATGGGGGCAGGCTCCCAGCTCCCGCATGGGGCTTGGCCTGGACACGGCCCCGGGGCTGCTCCTGGAGAACCCGGACCCCTCTGGGGACCCTGAGTGGCTCCGTCCCCGGTGCCCTCTGCTGAAGGGGAGGGAGGGCCGGGACAGGCCAGGACAGAGCCGTGCTCCTCACCCATCCCCTGCTGCCAGGGCCGGGGACCGCACCTGAACAGAGAAGCCCCAGAACCAGGACAAACAGAGCCCAAATCTGCCCTTGGGCCGCCCTGGCCTGCCAGAACCTGTCCTCACCCAGCACCATGAGCCCCCAGCCTGACCAACCTCCCCCTGCTCCTGCCGAGGCTGGCACTGCCCACCGGCTCGGGTTGAGGAGGATGTGGTGATGCTGATGGTGGCACCGGGCCTGTGATGGCCTCAGCACCCTCCCTCTGCCAACCGGAGCTCAGTGGTGGCCTCTCAGAGCCCTGGGAAGTGAGGGAGCACCTGAGAAACCCCAGCAGTGGGATAAGACCCTGGAGACCCTAGAATCCCAGACTGGTTTGGGATGAAGGGACCTTAAAGCTCCTCCATTCCCAACCCCTGCCCCGGGCAGGGACCCCTTCCACTGGAGCAGCTTGCTCCAAGCCCCTGTGTCCAACCTGGCCTTGAGCCCTGCAGGGATGGGGCAGCCACAGCTCCTCTGGGCAGACTCCTCCTCCTGTCCCTCAGAGCCGTGGTCCCGTGGGACTGATTCAGAGGCATCACGGGGCAGCGCTGCAGGGATGAGGCCCATCTGCACAGGGGTGATAAGGACGAGCACCCCCTTATCAGAGGATGCCACCTGCGGCTGGGCCCCACTGATGTCTCGAGCCCTTGGTCTGCTTCACCCTACATCCAATCTGAGGGCCCGGCCACAGCCAGGCCAGCACCAGCGGTGCTTGGAAGAGCTCAGCCAGCACCCACGTGTGTGCCCCGGGTGACAGCTCCATTGGTGACACAGCCCCAAACGGGTCCCAGCTCTGCAGGGAGGCACCGAGCTCGTGGGGACCACGCAGCCCTGCAGGCACCTCCCCTCCATCAGCAGGGGCTGCCCAGAACCCCAGCCTGGGGTGGGATGAAGGGAGCTTAAAGCTGCTCCATTCCCAACCCCTGCCACGGGCAGGGACCCCTTCCACTGGAGCAGCTTGCTCCAAGCCCCTGTGTCCAACCTGGCCTTGAGCACTGCCAGGGATGGGGCAGCCACAGCTTCTCTGGGCACCCTGTGCCAGTGCCTCAGCACCCAAGAAGAGAAGAGGAGGCCATGCTCAGTGGTGGCACCAGGCAGGGTGGTGGCACATGCTCCCAGGGCATCCCTGTGCCATCCTGTCCTTCTAGCCAGGGATGTGCCATGCTCCACATGTCCTCAGAGGGAGGAAATGCTCCTTTGCTGGGCTTGGGCCCATGCACCGGGACATGGGGATGCCCCAGCACAGCTCAAGCCCTGCGGGATTAACAAGGACAAGCTGCCACTCTGCTCACTGCAGGGCAGCCCTGGAGGGGCTGTGGTTTGGTAACCCAGGGTCAACACAGGCACCCACCAGCACAGGAGCAGGAGATGCACAGGGTGCTCAGTGCCAGCGGGTGCAGAGAGCCCAGCACCCAGTGACACCGAGCCCATAGGCCTTGTGGGTGCAGGCTGCTCCCACCCAGAGCCCCCACAGGGCCACCACTACACAGCAGATCCATGGAGCAGCCTTGGTCCTACAGACACATGGATGGGCTCTGGGCAGCGCTGCCAGCACCTCCTGCCTGCTGCCCCCTTCTCCTTGGGAGCAGTAATGAACCAGGCACCATGGTGATGGGGCAGAGGGCATCCTGCAGGCAGCAGCGCTGCCAGATGGTGGCAGAGCTCCCCGGGTCACCCCACCAGCACCGGGGCTGTGCTCCTGGCATAAACTGGGAGGAACCCACCTGAATCCATCCCTACAAGGGCTGCAGGGATAGGACAAGGGGTGATGGGTTCAAACTGGAACAGGGGAAGCTCAGGTTGGAGATAAGGCAGAAGCTCTTCCCTGTGAGGGTGCTGAGGCGCTGGCACAGGGTGCCCAGAGAAGCTGTGGCTGCCCCATCCCTGGCAGTGCTCAAGGCCAGGTTGGACACAGGGGCTTGGAGCAAGCTGCTCCAGTGGAAGGGGTCCCTGCCCGTGGTAAGGGGTTGGAGCTGGATGGGCTTTAAGGTCCCTTCCAACCCAACCCAGTCCATGCTTCTGTGTGTGGCGGGAGGCTGCTCAGCCTCTGCCCCAACCCTCCAGCTGCAGTGCTGTGGGTCAGGGCTGTCAGTCCCCTGCTGCACACAGCAGCACAGCCCCATCACCATCAGGGTCCACAGGCTTCAACCTCAACCCAGGGAGCTGCCCCCATGCCCAGCTCAGCACCAGCATGGTTCCTGGGGGACAGACAGCAGGGTCAGTGCTGCTGCTGCTGCCACCGAAGCTCACGGGCTCGCTGCAGTGCTGCAGCCAGCACTGGTGCACTGCCTGCTCAGGGAGCCGCTGCTGGAGGGGCAGGGCTGGGAGCTCTGCACAGAAAACACCCCAAACCAAAGCCAAAACACAGCCAAGAGATGGGATGAGTAAAGGAAGCTGTGGGAAAGCTGCCAAGGAGCGAGCTCCCATTATGGCCCTATCACCAGAGATCACTTCCCAGCCAGAGGGGAAGCCCGGGATCTCCAAAAATCCCTTTCACAGGGAATCCCAGAGCCAAAGAACCGCTGGAAGCTGCTTCGGGCCCAAGGCAGCGAGGGGATGGGCTCCGGGCATTGCCGGCAGGGGACAATAAAGCAGGAGCCGCGCTCCCCTCGCTCTGCGCCACCGCCTGAGCCCCCAGGCACAGCGGCCCCGGTGCCCCTGCTCCTCCGGAGCTCCCAGCCCTCACACCTCGGGGAGCTCCCCCTGGGGGTCTGTGCGCCACAAAGCAATCACCTTCCTGGGGCAAGGCGTGCAGGGAGCCCGGGGACCGTTCCCCAGGGGATGGGAGGCTCAGGCTGGGGGGAGACGGATCCCTGATGGGGGACAATGAGGGAGGTGCAGGGAGCCCAGAGACCCCGGCAAGGCTGAGGCAGACGCATGCAGCAGCAGCAGCTTCCACACACACGGTTCCTGGGCTGCACATCACAGCATCACAGCACCACAGCATCACAGCACCACAGCATCACAGCACCACAGCATCACAGCATCACAGTATGGTAGAGATGGGAAGGGACCCCAAAAGCTCATCCAGTCCAATCCCCCTGCAGAGCAGGAACACCCAGATAAGGTTACACAGGAACGTGTCCAGGCGGGTTTTGAATGGCTCCAGAGAAGGAGACTCCACAACCTCCCTGGGCAGCCTGGTCCAGTGTTCTGTCACCTCACTGAGAAGAAGTTTAAGTGGAACCTCTTGTGTTCCAGTTTGTACCCATTGCCCCTTGTCCTATCATTGTTTGCCACTGAGAAGAGCCTGGCTCCATCCTCGGGACACTCCCCCTTTATATATTTATATGCACTAATAAGGTCACCCCTCAGTCTCCTCTTCTCCAAACTATAGAGACCCAGCTCCCTCAGTCTCTCCTCATAAGGGAGATGCTCCACTCCCTCAATCATCTCAGTTGCCCTGCACTGGACTCTCTCCAGCAGGTCCCTGTCCTTCTGGAACTGAGGGGCCCAGAACTGGACCCAATACTCCAGATGGGGTCTCACCAGGGCACAGCACAGGGGAAGGAGGACCTTCCTGCCCTGCAGCGGTGCTGATGGGCAGGCTCCAGCACTCACTGCAAAGCAGCTCAGCACCAGAGGGGCATCCATGCAATGGGATAAGAAGCTCCTGACCAGTGAGTCCCTGAGCCCACCATCCCCCTTGCAGGGAGCAGCCTGTAGTGGTTCCTGCAGGAAAAGGGGTAACACAACCAGTGCTTCCCACTGCTCCCGGTTTGCAGGAGCAGCAGGTTCCAGTTCCTCAGTGCAGAGAAGCTGATTTCAGCCCGGAAACAGGCATCCTCAGGGAAGGAGGGTCAGGAAATGCAGCCCATGGGGACACTGATGAAGAGGTTTTCAAGTGAAAACTAGGAAATAGGAAATCAAGATTCCTCCCACTGAGTTTTGGTGAGCTCTGAGTTTTGGTGACCCTGTTTCCCAGTTGCACATGGTGCTGGCAACTCCTTCAGCATCCAGTCACAGTTGTTCTGAGCCTTCCGGTGCATTAAAGAGTTACAGGAAACCTGGAGAGGGCTTGGGACAAGGGCCTGTAGGGCCAGGCCAAGGGGAATGGCTTGAACCTGCCCGAGGGGAGACTGAGCTGAGCTCTTAGGCAGAAGCTCTTCCCTGTGAGGGTGCTGAGGCGCTGGCACAGGGTGCCCAGAGAAGCTGTGGCTGCCCCATCCCTGGCAGTGCTCAAGGCCAGGTTGGACACAGGGGCTTGGAGCAAGCTGCTCCAGTGGAAGGGGTGCCTGCCCGTGGCAGGGGTTGGAGCTGGATGATCTTGGGGTCCTTTCCAACCCAACCCATTCCATGATTATTTCACAGCCAAGCGACAGTCAGACCCCCCACCAGCAGCCAAAGCCCCCCCAGCACCCAGCACTGAGAGAAGAAGGAAAGTTTCTGTACCTCGGGACTTACTGTGTGTTTCTTCGTCATCCTCCAGAGGATGCAGGTCAGCAGCATGTGCCCCAGGGCTGAGGTGATGAACACGATGAAGGCGTTCTCATGGATTGCTGCGCCAACAAGACAAGAGCTTCCCTGTTAATCTGAGCCAGCAGCACAAGGGGAGCACGGGGCAGGCGTTGGGAGGGTGAGGGATCCCCTGCCTTCTGCAGGACATGGTCCTGCTGGCAGCTCCAGCACCCAGAGATGCTGTGGTCCAGGACCTGGGCCTGTGCAGAGACAGGCAGGGCAGAGGAGGGAAAAGGGGGATTTTGGGACAGAGCTGCTGGAGAGGGATGTGGGTTGCTGTCAGACTTATCCCAAAGGTGCCAGGGGGGTGTTTTCATGCTCTGGCACCTGCTCTCCACTGCTTCACACTGTTGTATACCTCAGGCAGCTTCCAAAGCAGCTCAGCATCAGCACCACTGCTGAGGGATGGGGAAACTGAGGCAGAGAGGGGGGGTTTGCAGAGTGAGTGAGTCCAAGGCCCAGGAAGGGCCATCTTCTGGCCTCCTTCATTCTCCACGTGCCAATTAGGGGCTCTCATCAGCCTCCCCACCAGCTCTGGGGCTGCCTTATGCATCCCTGCCTAGCACAGACCCAGGCTGAGGCTGGCAATGCAGCAGGAGCTCCCAAAGCCCCACACAAACCCATGCCATTTCAGGTGAGCTCTTTTCACATGGGTGCTTCTACTGAAGAATTTCCTGCCTGTTCTCCAGGAACTGAGGCTCAGGCTGAATTCCCAAGGCCCTGAATGTAAGAAACGATCTTCCCAGATTCCAGAGGAAGGGAAACCCCATGAGGAGCAATGGGAAAGGCAACTGTTAGAGGTGAAGATGTGAGCCAACCCCTGCAGAGATGATTAACCTGAGCCCGGTCTCATCCTGGCACAGAAGCCAAGAGCTGAAACTTATCCCCCAGACATGAGATTAGTGTTTTAATGGGGATCTGGGAAAACTGGGTTAAGCTCAGCTCTCCATGAGGCTTTTGTTCAGCCTGGAGAAGGCTCCAGTGCGACCTTAGAGCAGCTCCAGGGCCTAAAGGGGCTGCAGGGAAGCTGGAGAGGGGCTTGGGACAAGGGCCTGTAGGGCCAGGCCAAGGGGAATGGCTTGGAAGGGGCTTGGAGCAAGCTGCTCCAGTGGAAGGGGTCCCTGCCCAAGGCAGCGGTTGGAGCTGGAGGAGCTCTAAGGTTCTGTCCCACCCAAACCACTCTGTGACGCTCTCAGTGCAGCATCAGGTGCGTTCCCACCTCCACTGTTGCGAGGCAGCAACCCCTCTTCTGTCAATGTCCCCTCATCAGCTCCAAACCCTCTTCCTGGAGCTCTGCCCTGGCCTCTTTGGGAGCTTTCATGACTACACCCTGCAGTGTGGTCCCACAGCTGGACCCAGTACCCATTAACATCACCAAGGGGTGCCCAGGGACAGCTCAACACAGCTCCCTGCCCCACAGTCCCAAACCAGCACCGTTTCTGCTGCAACAGCACCACCTCGCTGACCCATGGATCTGGGCCCTCTCCAGTCAATCCCTGGTGCCTCCTCCAGATGTCAGGGTGAAACAGCAGCTGGGTATCATCACCAGCACTCAGAACTCACTTCAGATGAGACCAGGTGGGAGAAGAGCATTTCCCAGCCTGGGGTGAGCATATTTCACCCAGAGAATCCACCTGCAAAATGCTCATTTGGTTTTCAGGTCAACACAGGAGCTTTTACCCGGTTTAGGGGGGGGTATTTAAAATGCAGAGCATGGGCTGGAAGCCAGCTCAGAGCTGGAGTCAGAGCTGAGCTGTGGAGCAGGGGCAGTGCCAACCTCACCTGTGGTGGGACACGTTAAGCACAGCCTTGGTGCACAAGTGGGAGCCAAGCACTTAAAGTCTGAGCTTAGGCCTGACACAAAAAGTAGTGAGAATCATACAATTATAGAATCATTAGGGTTGGAAAGGACCCCAAGATCATCCAGTTCCAACCCCTGCCATGGGCAGGGACACCTCGCTCTAAACCATAGCACCCAAGGCTCTGTCCAACCTGGCCTTGAACACTGCCAGGGATGGAGCATTCACAACCTCCCTGGGCACCCATTCCAGTGCCTCACCACCCTCACATTAAAGAACTTCCTCCTTAGATCCAACCTAAACTCCCCCTGTTTCAGTCTGAACCCATCACCCCTTGTCCTATCACTGCAGTCCCTAATGAAGAGTCCCTCCCCAGCATCCCTATAGGACCCCTTCAGATACTTTGGGAAGAGGCAGCTGTTTGCACATGATGACACAACTTTGCTCTAAAAATACTGATTTTAATACAATTTCTTCTGAGCTGTTTTTCCTCCAAACTGGCCACTTCCAAAGCACTTGTGTGAATTATAGAATAGTTTGGGTTGGAAAGGACCTTGTGATCACCCAGTTCCAACCCCTGCCATGGGCAGGGACACCTCACACTAACCCATGGCACCCAAGGCTCTGTGCAACCTGGCCTTGAACACTGCCAGGGATGGAGCATTCACAACCTCCCTGGGCACCCATTCCAGTGCCTCAGCACCCTCACAGGGAAGAACTTCTTCCTTAGATCCAGTCTAAACCCCCCCTGCTCCCGCTGGGTGCAGCAGAGCTCTGCACAGCCGCAGCAGCCCCCGCTCAGAGGCTGGAGGTGGCACCTACCATAGTTCTCAGAGGAGGACACGTAGGTGAGGATGAGGAGGGCGAAGTTCTCGAGCAGGTTGAGCAGGAGGTTGCAGTGGCAGAGGCGCAGGTAGCGCGGGTGGGAGCAGTGGCAGCTCTGGTAGTGGTTCCAGTAGGCGATGGCCACCAGGAAGCGGGGGGCCGAGTGCAGGCCGATGCAGAGGCGCCAGACGTAGCGCTGCGGGGTCTCGCCCCCGATGGCTGCGCTGATGGACGGCAGGTAGTTGGGGACCTGCAGGAGACACAGAGCTCGTGGGGAGGGACACGGGCTTGTATCCTGCTGCCATGGAGCCACGGCATCAACCAGTGGGGAAAGAGCTTCAGGTCCACCCAGTGCAACCATTGCCCCACGGCCACCACCATCCCATGGCACTGGGGCCTCGTCTCCATGGGGTGTGAACCCTTGCAGGGCCGGTGCCTGCAGCCCCATGGCACTGGGCAGCCTGTTCCAATGCTGAGCACTCTCTGGGGCAGGAACTGGTCCTCAGCTCCATCTAAACCTGCCCTGGGCAGCCTGTTCCAATGCCTGAGCACCCTCTGGGGCAGGAACTGCTCCTCAGCTCCATCTAACCCTGCCCTGGTGCAGCCTTTCTTCCCTAAGTTCATTCCCATTTCAAAGCCAGGGAATGCAAGCTGGCAGGAGCCCTGGTTCATCCCCCAGCCCTGCTGGGACACTCCCTGGGTGCTGTTGTGCCCTGCTCAGGGTCCTGCTTGTGTTTCTTAGCTTTATAATTGGTCTTTATCCCTTCCCTTTGCTCAGCCGTGCTCTCCTGCATGTTCTCTGACCCAAAAGTCTGGGGAGAGAACTGACACCAGCAGCAAAGAGGGGCCAGGGAGGAGCCCAGGCAGAACCATGCACCCCCATGGCCTGCACAGAGGTGTTCCCCACAGGACCTGCTCCCCAGTCACCCAACAGGAGCTGGTTCCTCAAGCAGAACCGGCCACCTCCCTCCCTTGTCCTGTCCTTCCTCATGCTTCAGGGGGAGCACTGAACCCCTGCCCTCTCCAAGCAGCCCCACCTCGTACCCCCCTGTCCCTGCTCTCTTCCCATGCACAGCTGGAGATCCCTCACTTCACCACCACGGAACCGGAGCTGCAGAACCTCTGAGCCTCCCCATGCAGCTGAGCTGTGAGGGGGCACAGAACCACACAGGGGGTGTGCACATTACTCATGGCTCCAAACCTCCAGTCAATCGGCCCTGGGGTTTCCTTGCTCCATCACCCCCACAGCAGCCTGTCTCACCATCCCTGCTTCACGGCCTTTCAACTGCACGAGCTTAAGGTCCTTTCCAACCCAAACCATTCCATGATTCTATGATTACCACCCCACTATGGAGGAGGCACACAGACCCCATAAAGCCCTACGGTCACCTCCTATAGTGTGACAAGGACTCCTGCCCCCTGTTCATCCACTGTTGTGCTGAGGAGGAACCTGATCCCGTCCCTTCACAGTATGGTAGAGATTGGAAGGGACCTCAAAAGCTCATCCAGTCCAATCCCCCTGCAGAGCAGGAACACCCAGATAAGGTTACACAGGAACGTGTCCAGGCGGGTTTTGAATGGCTCCAGAGAAGGAGACTCCACAGCCTCCCTGGGCAGCCTGGTCCAGTGTTCTGTCACCTCACTGAGAAGGAGTTTAAGTGGAACCTCTTGTGTTCCAGTTTGTACCCATTGCCCCTTGTCCTATCATTGTTTGCCACTGAGAAGAGCCTGGCTCCATCCTCGGGACACTCCCCCTTTATATATTTATATACACTAATAAGGTCACCCCTCAGTCTCCTCTTCTCCAAACTATAGAGACCCAGCTCCCTCAGTCTCTCCTCATAAGGGAGATGCTCCACTCCCTTCATCATCTCAGTTGCCCTGCGCTGGACTCTCTCCAGCAGGTCCCTGTCCTTCTTGAACTGAGGGGCCCAGAACTGGACACAATATTCCAGATGGGGTCTCACCAGGGCAGAGTAGAGGGGAAGGAGGACCTCTCTCGACCTACTAACCACCCCCTTCTAATACACCCCAGGATGCCATTGGCCTCCTTGGCCACAAGGGCACAGTGTCGGCTCATGGTCACCCTGTCCCTTCTGGAAACCCAGGGGGTCCCTCTCAAGCTGCACTCCCCGGGTACCTGCTTGTGACTCCACTGATGAGCTCCAGCACATCTGAGGGGCAGCAATACCTTCTCTGAAGGCTGGGCTAACCCCTCCATAGGACACTGCATCTGTCGGCAGCTTCATCACTTTAACTCCTCACCATCACCACCACAGTGCCCAGCAGGCACCAGCCTGACCAGGCTGCACCCCCCTATGCCCCTTTGTGGAGCCAAAACCTCCGTTGCCAGACCCAAACCACCACAAACACACCAAAAGAAAGCGGCTCCTTGGAGATGCTCTGGTGGGCAGGGAGAGGAGGAGAGAAGAGCGCTGCCAGCCCCGGCTGCCCCAGCACAGTGCAAGGACTCAGCACCGCCCTCAGGGGTCCCTTACCCCGCAGTGGGTCGCTGTTGTCTCCCGGAAATGGAAGAGCAGAGACCAGATCACACAGAACAGGAACCCAAAGAGGGGGCAGAACACGGTCGCCAGCGCCAGTGTGGTGAAGCGGAGCCGGAAGAGGATCCCATCGCGGTCCAGGGGCAGCGGCACCTGCAGCATCTTGATGGGCCTGGGAAGGAACCAACCAGAGGCGTCATGGAAGGGGTTGGGTTGGAAGGGAACTTAAAGCTCCTCCATTCCTAACCCCTGCCACAGGCAGGGACCCCTTCCACTGGAGCAGCTTGCTCCAAGCCCCTGTGTCCAACCTGGCCTTGAGCACTGCCAGGGATGGGGCAGCCACAGCTTCTCTGGGCACCCTGTGCCAGCGCCTCAGCACCCTCACAGGGAAGAGCTTCTGCCTAAGAGCTCAGCTCAGTCTCCCCTCGGGCAGGTTCAAGCCATTCCCCTTGGCCTGGCCCTACAGGCCCTTGTCCCAAGCCCCTCTCCAGCTTTCCTGCAGCCCCTTTAGGCACTGGAGCTGCTCTCAGGTCTCCCCTTCAGGAGCCTTCTCTTCTCCAGGCTGCCCCAGCCCAGCTCTAGAGCAGAGCCTGATGGGGATTCCCTGTCCTCCTGCAAGGCCCAGCCCCAACAGCCCTGGGCAGAGGCTGCCTCTCACACCCATGTTTAACAGCCACGCAGCCCCAGGGCAGGGATCAAGGACAGGCAGGAGGAGAGCCCAACCATGAGCAGTGTCCTGCACGCAGCAGGGAGGAGCTGGCAGTGGGATGCACAAGCAGTGGAACATCACCGTGATGCTACAGACAGCAGGAGTGATCTGGCTGCAGACACGTGAGCTCTTTCCAGCAGTGTCCATCATTCCAGACCATTCCTCTGCTTATGCAGACCATTCCCGGGCTCTGCTCAGAGCTGCTGCCCAGGACCAGTGCTGACAGAGCGAGAGCACCATGTGCTGTGTGCTGCAGCTCCTCAGCACACCCCAGCCTCCCCCAGCACCTCCTCACCACAGCCCCACAGCCAGCACGGACCCAGCCGAGCGCTCACAGGTCCCAGATACAGAGACCTGGACTTGCTCCAGCAACTCCACAGGAGGGCAAGGGGATGCTGCGAGGGCTGGAGCATCCCTGCTCTGGAGCCAGGCTGAGAGAGCTGGGCTGGGGCAGCCTGGAGAAGAGAAGGCTCCTGAAGGGGAGACCTGAGAGCAGCTCCAGTGCCTAAAGGGGCTGCAGGAAAGCTGGAGAGGGGCTTGGGACAAGGGATGCAGGGATGGGAGGAGGAGGAATGGCTTCAACCTGGAAGAGGGAAGAGTTAGATGGGACATTGGGATGAAGCTCTTCCCTGTGAGGGTGCTGAGGCGCTGGCACAGGGTGCCCAGAGGAGCTGTGGCTGCCCCATCCCTGGCAGTGCTCAAGGCCAGGTTGGACACAGGGGCTTGGAGCAAGCTGCTCCAGTGGAAGGGGTCCCTGCCTGTGGTGGGAGGATGAGACTGGATCAGCTTTAAGGTCCCTTCAACCCAAACCAGGACCTTGCAGGCCCCACACCCTGCCCAATGATAAAGCTGCCGATCACAGGCTGGGCAAGCTGGGACAAGTGGTTTATCAGGGCTGGAGCCCGCCTCCAGCTCGGGCTCTCTGTCCTCATCCCAACACCCTCTGCCATGGCTGCTCGCCCTGTGCCCTCCCAGCCCAGCTCCCTTTGGAACACCGGGATCACAGCAGTGCCCTTAAGGGCACACACCTGAGCTGGTGCTGAGCCCTCCGCTCCCAGCACCTTCCCCAGCCAGGACAAGGCCACGGAGCAGCCCCACGGAGGGGCTGTGGTGTCCTCTGAGCACGCAGGGATCCACACCTCACCTTACCCTCACTGCTGAGGCTGCAGGGCAAGCCCCTGTGGCAGGCAGGGAGCAGCAAGGGCAGGAGCCCTGGGAGCAGCCCCAGGGCAGCGCTCCCCTTTCCCCCCATTGCGTCCTTCACACCAGTAACAGTCACAGAGCTCAGCTCAGTCTCCCCTCGGGCAGGTTCAAGCCATTCCCCTTGGCCTGGCCCTACAGGCCCTTGGCCCAAGCCCCTCTCCAGGTTCCCTGCAGCCCCTTTAGGGAAGGGGCCCTCTCAGTCTGGCTCCAGCCCTTGGACCCACTCACACAGCCTGCAGGCACTGGCACAGCCCTGAGCATCATCATCACATTGGAACTCTCAACCATAACCCACCCCATCACCAGCACAAAACACCTACTGGAACCTCTCCTCGCACTGGGGCACTTCAGCCCCTTAACCCAGCCTTTCAGCTCCACAAACCCTCTAAACAGTGGGCAAGAAATCACTCCACATTGAATGGACTTACCCTGCTACAGGGAAATAGGTGCAGAAGGACCTGGCACTGCAGCGCACAGCAGTTCCACCCTGCCCACCCCAAACCCATGGCAGGGGGCTGGGACTGGGTGATGCTAAGGTCCCTTCCAACCCAACAGTCTGGGATTCTATGATGTGGGGTCCTTCACAAAGCAATAGGAAAGCTCTGCCATGGATCTAATGGAGCCCTTTGGGCTGGGCCTGTGGGACACTGGATGGAGGGGCAGGGAGAGGGGACCCCCCAAACTCACTGCTGGCAGTGAACCCAGCCTGGGACAATGGGGGGCTCAGCCTGGGGACACACAGACGGTGCTATGGGGGGTACACACACACTGTGCTATGGGGACTGCATGGGGGGTACACACACACTGTGCCATGGGAACTGCATGGGGGTACACACACACTGTGCTATGGGGACTGCATGGGGGTACACACACACTGTGCTATGGGGACTGCATGGGGGGTACACACACACTGTGCTATGGGGACTGCATGGGGGGTACACACACACTGTGCCATGGGGACTGCATGGGGGTACACACACACTGTGCCATGGGGACTGCATGGGGGGGTACACACACACTGTGCCATGGGGACTGCATGGGGGGTACACACACACTGTGCCATGGGGACTGCATGGGGGGGTACACACACACTGTGCTATGGGGACTGCATGGGGGTACATACACACTGTGCTATGGGGACTGCATGGGGGGGTACACACACACTGTGCTATGGGGACTGCATGGGGGTACACACACACTGTGCTATGGGGACTGCATGGGGGGTACACACACACTGTGCCATGGGGACTGCATGGGGGTACACACACACTGTGCTATGGGGACTGCATGGGGGGTACACACACACTGTGCCATGGGGACTGCATGGGGGGTACACACACACTGTGCTATGGGGACTGCATGGGGGTACACACACACTGTGCCATGGGGACTGCATGGGGGGTACACACACACTGTGCCATGGGGACTGCATGGGGGGGTACACACACACTGTGCCATGGGGACTGCATGGGGGGTACACACACACTGTGCCATGGGGACTGCATGGGGGTACACACACACTGTGCCATGGGGACTGCATGGGGGGTACACACACACTGTGCTATGGGGACTGCATGGGGGTACACACACACTGTGCCATGGGGACTGCATGGGGGTACACACACACTGTGCTATGGGGACTGCATGGGGGGGTACACACACACTGTGCTATGGGGACTGCATGGGGGGGTACACACACACTGTGCTATGGGGACTGCATGGGGGTACACACACACTGTGCCATGGGTGCGTGGGGTACACACACACTGTGCTATGGGGACTGCATGGGGGTACACACACACTGTGCCATGGGGACTGCATGGGGGTACACACACACTGTGCTATGGGGACTGCATGGGGGGGTACACACACACTGTGCTATGGGGACTGCATGGGGGGTACACACACACTGTGCCATGGGGACTGCATGGGGGTACACACACACTGTGCTATGGGGACTGCATGGGGGGTACACACACACTGTGCCATGGGGACTGCATGGGGGGGGTACACACACACTGTGCTATGGGGACTGCATGGGGGTACACACACACTGTGCCATGGGGACTGCATGGGGGGTACACACACACTGTGCCATAAGGACTGCATGGGGGGGAAGGCACAAGCAGTGTCCCCTCCATCCCCACAACGGCAGCCCCCACAAGGATCCTGCCCAAAGGGGCAGTCTCTTAGCGCAAACACTGAGCGGCCCCGGGGCTGCCCTGAACCACAGGGTCCAGCCCCCCGAGACCCCTCCGCGGGTACCCCATCTCCCATAGATAACCCCACACCCATCCCTGCTTACCCCATATCCCCACCGGACACAGCGAACCCCCGCGCACCCCGGACCGCTCCGGCACCCCTTGGGTACCACAGAGTGCCCCGAGGAGCCTGACCCCAACCCTCCCCAGTGACCCCTCCACAGAGCCGCTCCCACCCGCAGAGAGCACCCTAGGGACCCCACAGACATCGCCAGCGACCTCGGGCACCCCAGACCCGGACCAGGACCCGGACCCATTCCTTGCGGAGCCACCGCAGCGCTGGGACCCCACGGACGCTCCCTGTGCCTCAGAAGCCGCCAGTGCCCCACAGCGGACACCCCCCCGTGCACCCCACAGCTCCCTGAGCCCGCCGGAGCAGCAGCCGGAGCCGCCCCGCTCCTCGCCGCGCTCCCCTCCATGCCCGGCCCGGCTCCTCCCGCCGCCCCCCGGGCCCCGCTCCTGCCCGGTCCCCCTCAGGTACCCCCCAACGCACCGAGCCGCGCGCCGCCTCACGGCCCCTTTAAGGCTCCGGGTCCCGCCTCCTGCGCAGGTGCCGCAGCGAGCTCCGATTGGCCCAGCCCGGAGAAGCCCCGCCCCCAAACGCCCCGGATGTCAGGCGGGGCTGCGATGCGGGTTCTGGACCCTTCCGCAGCACGAGCCTCGCCCTCTCAACTGCGTCACACCAATCAGCGCTCAGGGCGCGGCAGACGTAATAGACCCTTTCACCCAATCAGCTGCAAGCTTTCGCTGTTCCCCGAGGGATGAGGAGGGGGAGCAGTCTCGCTCCTAAAGGGCGGCAGCCAATGGGCGTTGAGCGCGCGGGGGATGCTGGGAGGCGCGCGGAGCGGGCTGTGACGCAGCTTCCCCCTGCGTGAGGCGGCGGCGGCACCGCGAGAGCGGCGAGGCCCGGCCCGGTGCGGCCCGGGCGGTCCCGGCGGGTGAGTGCCGCGGGGCGGCAACGGCCCAGGGGCCTCGTGGGGCTCCGGGCCCGGCCCGGGGGAGGGCGCGGGCGGGGGGGCGTGGCTCGGCCCGCTCTGAGGGGCCCGGCATGGGAGGCTGCTGCGGGGCTCCTCCGGAGGCGGCCCCGCCGGTGCGTGAGTAACCGGCACTTAGCGGCTGCTCCCGAGGCTGCTGGCGCGGTCAGTTCCTCGGTGCGGGTGCTGGTGGAGGCGCGGGGGCCGTTAACGGGGGTGCCGGTGGATCCGGGCTGACCGGCCCCGTCCGCAGGGCCCTCCCGGGGCTGCACCCTCAGGCCCGCCGTCGGGAGAGAAGTTTAACCGGAGTTAATTCGGGTTCCTTCGGTGTGGCTGGGGCTTTGTACGGTGTGAAGTCCCTCAGAGCCTGCGGGAGTGGGGGGAGCTCCTCTGCAGCCGGGGACGGTGCTCAGCAGGGGGCCGGGGTGGGTACGAGCCCATCTCTTCCAGCCCATGCTGCTGTAAGTCGGGCTCGGTTCCTGCGTGCCGCCGGTGCTCCGGGAGCGCTCCCGTGCTGCGGCTCAGGTGGGTTTTCCCGGCACACGTTTGGTTTAACGCAAGGTTCGAGAGGGGCTGGTGTGAGCCCAGGGGCTGTGTGCACCGTCCCGCGGGTGGAGGGTGCTCTGCTGGGCCCCCGGCATGGGTGACCGCGTAAAGCCCAAGCTCCAGAGGTGGGGAATGCTGCAGAGGGGATCTCAAGAACTCGTTTGCCTTACACAAACCCGCGCTCCAGGTTTCCTATGAAAGAGTTTGGCATTTAACAGTGTGACTGAAGGAGCAGCGGCCTCAGTAAGGGGAGAGGGGCTGTGTGAGCTGCAAGTAAGGCTGAGAATAACGGGGCTGAACAACTGAAAGCTGTGGGAACGCTTCAGGTGGCCTTCAGTGGGAGCTCCTTAGGGACAGAGTGGCCATGAATAGGCTGTACAGGCAGAGAAGAGCGCAGCTGAGGTGGGTGTGTGGAGGTTGAGGAGTCCCGGGGTAAAACTGATCTTCGAAGTGTTGCAATGATCAAATAGGGCATTTTTAAGGCATCACCCACAGAATAATGTGGTGTTCTCCAGGCTCAGGGTACTCTGATGGTCTGTCACATCACCTGTTTCCTTCTGATACCAGAATGCTGTTGTTTAAAGCCTCCTAAAGTGTCCAGGGAAGTCCATAAGAACTTGGATGTGTGAGTGGGAAGAGTTCTTACCACCGCAGAGCAGTGTTCTGCTGTTGTGAGTAACTGAAGGTAACACCAAACACCATCCAAGTTACTCTTAATGGGTCAGATCCTGATTTGCTCCTCGCTGCTGTGGTCCCCAGTGCACTGGGATGGCTGCAGAGGTACAGGGGTAGAGCTCCGGCTGCTCAGGATACAGGATTGGCTATTCCCAAAGGTGTTATGGGGTTTTTGGGAGCAAATACCTATGATTTCATGCATGATGGGTTTAGTGCCTTCACTCTGGAGTGGCTGTGCAGAGTGTGTCTGTGTTTCCTTTGGGTTAGGAGGGTACAGGAGCAGTTGGAATTAGGGAGCTGTAGGAGAACTGTGAAACTGGACAGAAGGAGAAGTGTGTCTGGAGATTAGCATGTGTTGTTGATGACAGCATGGAGAATACTTGATAGCTTGTTAAGGCTGGAGAAGAGAAGGCTCCTGAAGGGGAGACCTTAGAGCAGCTCCAGTGCCTAAAGGGGCTGCAGGAAAGCTGGAGAGGGGCTTGGGACAAGGGCCTGTAGGGCCAGGCCAAGGGGAATGGCTTGAACCTGCCCGAGGGGAGACTGAGCTGAGCTCTTAGGCAGAAGCTCTTCCCTGTGAGGGTGCTGAGGCGCTGGCACAGGGTGCCCAGAGAAGCTGTGGCTGCCCCATCCCTGGCAGTGCTCAAGGCCAGGTTGGACACAGGGGCTTGGAGCAAGCTGCTCCAGTGGAAGGGGTCCCTGCCTGTGGTAGCAGGGGCTGGAGCTGGATGGGCTTTAAGCTCCCTTCAGCCCAAACCCTTCCATGAGTTTATCCCTGTTCTGGATGATGGAGCCTCCTGGAAAACCTCAATGCAGTTTAAAAGTGCCAACGTGCCCCAGGTCGGCGTGACCTCACATGGAACAGCGTTAACCTGACATGACCGTAAGCAGTGCTTTGTAAATGTTCCTGGTAGGGGCCATGTCTTAGTTTTCTAAAGTTCTTAGTCCTGTGTTGCTGTGGATTAATGATGCTGCCAACAGGGAATTGTTCTGTGGATTACAGCAGCATTTTCCACGTTGGAGGCAGCAGGACCCAGCCTCAGTGCAGGAAGAGGCAGCTCTGCTTGGAGCAGGCCAGGGATGTGTTGTGGGGATGTTAGAGAGCCATAACATTGTGTTTGTGCTTGGAGAAGGGATTGGGGGGTGAGGCAGCAGAGCTGAATGTGTCCGGAAATAAACCAGTGGGTTGTGAACTGGGGTGAAACTCCCCTGAGCAAGGATTTGGAAGCAATGAGCTTTAGAAAGTGAAGGAAATCCCAGTACAGCCCCATGAGTGCTAATGGGAAGCAGATGGAAGGGGTATTCCTGCAATTCCTGTGCTGTGTGTGGTTCTGCTTTCTCTTATTTGAAGGAGTTGGCAAATGGGGTTTAATGGAAACATCATGGAAAACCCTGCGAGTGCTGCAGGAGCAGCAGTGTGAATCCTGTGTGTGTCTGTAGCAAGGTGTCCCCTTGGTGCTCTTTCAGGAGCTGAGATAGAGTCCTAGAAGGGTTTGTGTTGGAAGGAACCTTGAGATCATCCGGTTCCAACCGCCATGGTTGAGCAGGACCGAGCTCGTGTTGAGGAGGGTCAGATGCTGTAGAGACAGATGTGAAAAGTGCTGTTGGTGTGGGATGTTCTGCAAGGTTTTGTTGGAAATACATGGATCAGGGGAGTAACTCTGTTTAGGATTTTTTCAGTCACAGAACCATGGATCATGGAAGGGTTTGGGATGAAGGGAGCTTAAAGCCCATCCAGCTCCAGACCCTGCCACAGGCAGGGACCCCTTCCACTGGAGCAGCTTGCTCCAAGCCCCTGTGTCCAACCTGGCCTTGAGCACTGCCAGGGATGGGGCAGCCACAGCTTCTCTGGGCACCCTGTGCCAGCGCCTCAGCACCCTCACAGGGAAGAGCTTCTGCCTAAGAGCTCAGCTCAGTCTCCCCTCGGGCAGGTTCAAGCCATTCCCCTTGGCCTGGCCCTACAGACTCACTCTGGAAGTTGTACAGAAAACCTCACCATAATTAAGGGTGGGAGGCAGCTTCTTTGGGCCATCACCAGAGCATTAATTCCTTGCCCCTTCTGGTGTTCTGACAGTGCTTTACATCGCTTAGTGTGACATAAACCTGCTGTCACGTGTTTTGTGGCTTCAGGACTCATTACATTGCTTACATCCACCCTGAGGAAGCTGAAAAATGGATTTTGAAGATCAGTTTTGGGGCTGTTCAGCCTGGAGAAGAGAAGCTGCATGGAGACCTCATAGCAGCTTCCAGTGTCTGAAGGGGGCCTATAGGGATGCTGGGGAGGGACTCTTCATTAGGGACTGTAGTGATAGGACAAGGGGTAATGGGTTAAAACTGAAACAGGGGAAGTTTAGATTGGATCTAAGGAGGAAATTCTTCCCTGTGAGGGTGCTGAGGCACTGGAATGGGTGCCCAGGGAGGTTGTGAATGCTCCATCCCTGGCAGTGTTCAAGGCCAGGTTGGACGAGGCCTTGGGTGAGATGGTTTAGAGCGAGGTGTCCCTGCCCATGGCAGGGGGATTGGAACTTGATGATCTTAAGGTCTTTTCCAACCCTAACTATTCTATGATTCTTCTTTGCAGGTTGAAGGGAAGAACCTGATACATCCCCAAAATGTTTAACAAATCCTTTGGGACTCCGTTTGGAGGCAGCACCGGCTTCGGGACCACTTCAACCTTTGGACAAAGTAAGTAATAAACTGACTGCCCAGGGCTGCAGGTGGCTGTTCCTGGGGGATCAGGTGGTGGTTCTTTGTGATGGATCAGGGCTGAGTCAGGGGCAGGCTTCTGCACTGACCAAGCTCCTCATTTGGGTGCTGAGGCATTGGAATGGGTTGCCCAGGGAGGCTGTGAATGCTCCATCCCTGGCAGTGTTCAAGGCCAGGTTGGACAGAGCCTTGGGTGCCATGGTTTAGTGGGAGGTGTCCCTGCCCATGGCAGGGGGTTGGAACTGGATGAGCTTAAGGTCCTTTCCAACCCAAACTGTTCTGTGGAATCCTGGTATCACAGAACCATAGAGTTGTGGAAACTGGCTTTCTGAAGGGGAGGATTAGCCCAAATGCTCAGGTGAAGGCCACCTTGCTGGGTGGGGGTTCTTTCAGTTAATAGTGGATTTGTTGGGAAGTCTTGGAAGGAATATTCTGTATTCTGAGAGGTGTCTTGTGGCGATACATGTTGTAGGTACCACAACAAGTGAGGTTATAGCCCCTAAATCAGACCAGGAACTGTTTATATGCTCTGTTTTTAGGAAGGATGCACACCAGTCTGTTTTATGTTGCTAGGGGTCACTAGAAGTGTTAGACCCCCTGCAGAGGAGTGTCTTTGCACTGTGCAGAGCTGACTGACTCAGTATATCCCAGCCCTTTGCTTCAGGAGCTCCATACAAGTATTAATGATTCCACTTCCCGTACCCCACGCACTGATGTGTAGACAGGCATGCACAAGCTTCTTTTGGGACATTAAAAGGGCAGTGACAACATTTAGTTCCTTGTACCCATGTTCAGAACGTGGCTTATCTAAACTGCAATGGTAATTTCAGATGCTGGCTTTGGGACAAGTGGAGGAGCGTTTGGAACATCCGCCTTTGGCTCAAACAACAACACTGGAGGCCTCTTTGGGAGCACACAGACAAAACCAGGTACTGCTGTGGTGTGGTTGTGGGGAAACCAGGCCTGAAAGAAGGATGTTATTAGAAAGACATGGGGAAGGGAAAGGAAGAGACAGAAACCAAAGCAGCCATCAGCAAATGCAACAACCCAACCAACAAACTCACCCCAAAGCAGCAACAACACCCTCAACACCCTCAGGCAGTCAATGAGTGCTAATGATTACTGCTCTGTCAGTGTCCTCAAGAGGAAGCTCTGATCCTCTGTTAAGTCAAAAGTGTTTCATTTAAAATGCTCTTAAAGAGCATAGGGAGGCCCGTAAGGACTGGGATGTGTGAGTGGGGACACTCTGACACCACAAAACAGTGACCTGCTGTTCTGAATAGATGAAGAACCCCAAAACCCCCAAGCAATTGATGAGTGCAAATGATTAATGCTCTGCTTCTGTCTGCAGGAGGATTATTTGGTTCCACGACATTCAATCAGCCAGCCACCTCCTCCACAAGCACTGGCTTTGGCTTTGGAACCTCAACTGGGACATCAAACAGCCTGTTTGGAACAACCAGCACCGGGGGAGGCCTCTTCTCATCCCAGAGCAATGCCTTTGCACAGAATAAGCCAGCTGGGTTTGGAAGTGAGTAAAACTGCTGCATGTCCCCTGAGCATTGCTGCTTGTCTTTGAAGAGCCCTGAATGGTTTTGGTGCATGTGTGCAGCTGCTGCAAGTGTTAAATGTGGGGTTGGTGTTATTCCTTCTCCTGAAGGATTTAGTGAGGCTCTTGTGGTCCACAGTAGCCAAGAGTGAGGATTATGGCTACAAAATCCGTAGCTGTGATTCTAGCCATAACTTTCTGTAGCATCCCAGACTTGCTTGGGTTGGATGGGACCTTAAAGCTCTTCCAGTCCCAGCCTGCTGCCACGGGCAGGGATACCGTCCACTAGAGCAGCTTGCTCCAAGCGCCTTCCAAGCCATTCCCCTTGGCCTGGCCCTACAGGCCCTTGTCCCAAGCCCCTCTCCAGCTTTCCTGCAGCCCCTTTAGGCACTGGAGCTGCTCTCAGGTCTCCCCTTCAGGAGCCTTCTCTTCTCCAGGCTGCCCCAGCCCAGCTCTCTCTGCCTGGCTCCATGGCAGAGCTGCTCCAGCCCTTGCAGCAGCTCCATCTCCTCTGGCCTCACTCCAGCAGCTCCACGTCCCTCCTGTGTTGGGGTTTCCATTTCCAAACTCTTTTGTGATTTGTATAAAGTATTTGGGTTGAAGCTTTAAAATTCGGGTTTCTTTTGTTCTGACCTCTTTCTTGTCATGCTTTCTTTCAGACTTTGGAACCAGCACCAGCAGCGGGGGGCTCTTTGGAACCACTAACACCACTTCCAATCCCTTTGGCAGTACCTCTGGCTCTCTTTTTGGCCCAACTAGTTTCACCGCTGCTCCAACTGGCACCACTATTAAATTCAATGTAAGTTGTGGTTTTCCTTCCTACTCAAACCTGCTTGCTGTAGGAGTAAGTTTGGCAGTTATTTGTGTGGAGTGCTGTCTTGCTCCACTAGAGCAGGTTGCTCCAAGCCACATCCAGCCTGGCCTTGAGCACTGCCAGGGATGGGGCAGAATTCCAGGTGATCAGTGCTTAAATGCTGACAGCAATGAGATGGTTTGGAATGGGGCAAAATAAATGTGAGCCCTGAGTCTTAGAAATGTAAACTGGGACGTGGGGTTGATCCCTGGTGTTCTCTGGATGAATTCCCCTGAAGAAAGGCTTGAATAACATCACAGAGGTTCTGTGACCCCTGAAGATGGAGGGTGGCTCAGAGGAGAACCCACCATGGGAATGGGGAGCTGATTCCTGGTGGCAGGAGGTGTTCTGTTACCCAAATACTGGTTCACACAAATCTCAGCCCTCTTCACCTCTGCACTGAGCTGATTTAACGCACAGACTTTGCTGGTTTGGGGCAGGGGCAAAACTCTGACAACTTGGGCAGTCCGAGTGCTGCTGATGTGCATCTCCATGGTGCATAATGGGGGATAATGAAATCCAGGCAGAGCTGGAGGATTTGGTTCAAAGATTGTATAAATTGCTCCTAAAGTGAAACTGAATGGGGTGGCCCTGCCTTGTTTTAGGTGTTCACAGGGGAAATTCCACCCTTGGTTGCTGCTGAACCACGTCACAGGGTGAGGCCTTGGTTGTATAGAGGGCACTGATCCACTGCTCAGGTCCTGTGCTCAACTTGGGTCTAAACAGCAATCACTAAAAGAGCTCTAGGTGTAGGAATAAAGCTCTGTCTGGGTTTAAACCTCACATCTTGACCTCTTCTCTTGCAGCCACCAACTGGTACAGATACTATGGTAAAATCTGGTGTCAGCACCAACATCAACACCAAGCACCAATGCATCACGGCCATGAAAGAATATGAAAGCAAATCTCTGGAGGTCAGTCACCAGTGCTCAGGCACCTTATCTTGCTTGTCTGATAGGGTTGGGTTAGTAGAGGTTTTTGTGGCTGTGCTGTGTATTAGCAGTATGACCTTCAATATCTGCAGCACCCACAGAAGAAGGGTGTCATCAAGTAAAACACTTCATGTATCACCAAATTACTTGCATTTGGGTTTAAATGCTTAACACTGCAGTTCTTGGGGAGCTACAATTCCATCTCTCCATGTACCCAGATACAGTCCTGCACTGCTGAGATAACAGCAGAATTTCAGGCAGAGCAAAGTTGTTTAATATAAAGTAATGTTTCCAAGGGTTGAACCTGAAGCATTTCCATTCAAGGTGTCTTACTTGCTACTTCAAAAAGGGTTTTCTACTCCAAAGATCTGAAAGAGCTCTGAGATGTAAGCTGGAAGCCCAAACATGGATCTGAGTTCAGGTCATAAAATGATGGAATAGTTGGGTTGAAGGGACCTTAAAGCTCATCCCCCTGCCAGCACCTTCCACTGGAGCAGCTTGCTCCAAGCCCCATCCAGCCTGGCTTGCATTGAATTGAAGGTCCTGTTTATGGTGTCCCTCTTTTAAAAAGGGGGGCATGCAGCTTTTCTTGGTACCTTCATCTCAGTGTAGGCTCAAATGCTGTGGGAGCTGCTGCTCACGCTTGGCCAGCCTTACCCTGTGTAAAGAGAACTGGCTTTCCCTTTGCTAGGAGCTGCGTTTGGAAGACTACCAGGCAAACAGGAAGGGACCCTCCAACCCTGTAGGAGCTGGAGCAGCTGCAGGCTTGTTTGGGTCTTCTACAGCTACGTCGAGTACAGCTACAGGACTTTTTGGCTCTTCTACTACTAGTACTGGCTTTTCATATGGACAGAATAAAACTCCTTTTGGAACCAGTAAGTACTGCCTGGCCCCTGTCCTTACTGTGACTGGAGAAGCTGTTTAAAGACCTGTACTAACAGAAGATGATGGAACTCTGGTGTGAGCTCACAATATTCCTGGTTGTGTTACCAGCATTTGAGTTCCTTGCTGTAGGAACCCCATTTACTCTTCAGGGACTGTAACTTCTCCACATCCCCCAGGTTCTGCTGGAAAGCAGCTTACTAGAGCATCTGCTTCCCAGGGAAGTCAGCTGCCTCGTGGGCGAGGAGAGCCACCAGGATGTTGCTGATGGTGGGCAGGGTGGGGGCATTGCTTAGTGCTGAAGTCAGGATTCTGCTGCTAGGGAGCACAGATACATTGCCTGGCAATGGGCTGGTTGATTTATAGCAGCCAAACTGGACTCTGCTGGGGGCTTTGCTCCACCACAGAGCAGGGTGTGACCTGTTTTATCATAGACTCATTGTGGTGCTTGAACCCCAGCCAGTAACTCAGCACCACGCAGCCGCTCACTCATTCCCCCTTTACCCTCAGCTCCCAGCAGGATGGGCAGGAGAGTGGAAAGCATATAAACCCCATGGGTTGAGATAAGAACAATCCAGTAACTAAGGTATAATACAAAACTACTGCTAGTAATAATGATAAGGGAAATAACAAGGGGAGAGAACATGAAACTGAAAAGGGAAAAACCCCAGCAAACACAAGTGATGCCCAATACAATTGCTCACCGCCCGCTGACCAATACCCAGCCTGACCAGAGCAGCAGTCAGGGCCTTTGGGTGACTGCCCCCAGTTTCTATACTGGGCACAATGTGCTGTGGTATGGAATACCTCTTTGGCTAGTTTGGCTCAGGTGTCCTGTCTCTGCTTCCTGCAGGCTTCTTGTGCCCCCCCTCAGTCGCAGAGCATGGGATTGAAAAGTCCTTGACTGGAGTAAGCATTACTTAGCAACAACTAAAAATATCAGTGTTATCAGCACTGTTCTCATGCTGAAGTCAAAACCACAGCACTGCACCAGCTATTGAGAGGGAAAAAATAACTGTTACAGCTGAACCCAGGGCACTCATAGAATGGTTTGGGTTGAAGGGACCTTAAAGCTCCTCCAGCCCCAACCCCTGCCACGGGCAGGGACCCCTTCCACTGGAGCAGCTTGCTCCAAGCCCCTGTGTCCAACCTGGCCTTGAGCACTGCCAGGGATGGGGCAGCCACAGCTTCTCTGGGCACCCTGTGCCAGCGCCTCAGCACCCTCACAGGGAAGAGCTTCTGCCTAAGAGCTCAGCTCAGTCTCCCCTCGGGCAGGTTCAAGCCATTCCCCTTGGCCTGGCCCTACAGGCCCTTGTCCCAAGCCCCTCTCCAGGTTCCCTGCAGCCCCTTTAGGCACTGGAGCTGCTCTCAGGTCTCCCCTTCAGGAGCCTTCTCTTCTCCAGGCTGCCCCAGCCCAGCTCTCTCAGCCTGGCTCCAGAGCAGAGCTGCTCCAGCCCTCGCAGCATCTTGGAGTGTGGAACCATTGCAGGTTTGGATAAATACTTGAGGGTATTTAGGGTATTTTAACCAATGTGTCTCTCTGTTGTAGGTACAACTGGCTTTGGAACAGGAACCACAGGGGGGCTTTTTGGTCAGCAACCTCAAACGACAAGTCTGTTCAACAAACCTTTTGGCCAGCCCACAACAACACAGAACACTGGCTTTTCCTTTGGGAACACCAACACCCTGGGGCAGCCCAACACGAGCACAATGGTAAGGGAAACTGTCTGAACCCTAAAGGTGGAAGTTTGGCTGTAGCTAATCCAGTGGACAGGGATTTAGATCTTCCTCAGGCTGTGGTACAGCTTCATCAAATGAGGATGTAAAGCTCTGAATGCCACCATCTGAGCAAGCAGCTTCTTGCCAAGGGAAACTTCACCCATAGATAATGCGGAGCAGAACAGCTGTTAACAGACACTTCACCCATTCCTTTCTTTAAGCTGTCTGCTCTATCAGTTCAGGTGTCTTTTATGTTCACACAGGCAAAGTAATTCCATTCTTAACATCCTGTGGGATTCATTACCAATCCTGTGCTTCCTGGTGGCTAATGAAGGCATTCATGCGCTGCTTCTGGTAGAATGATGCTGTACAGCTGTAACCTGTGGCATAGCTGAGGCTCTGCCTCCAAATATGCTATACACTTCCTGTATATCTTATGCCTTCTCCCAGAAAATGTTTCTTTTTCCCCTCAAAGTGATGAGGAAATTCCAGTATCCTGTCCCTCAGTGATGAGCGAGATGTTTCTTTTCCCTCTCCCTTGCTCAAAGTGATGAGGAAATTCCAGTATCCTGTCCCTCAGGGATGAGCGAGATGTTTCTTTTCCCTCTCCCTTGCTCAAAGTGATGAGGAAATTCCAGCAGCCTTTGAAGCTTGGAGCATACATTCTTTGCTCTTTTATTTGATGCTTTTAATTTCCTTTCTGTACCTTACCTCTTGGAGAATGACAAAAGCTTCACCCATCGTCCTCCAGCACAAGGGCTGATGTTGCAGCATCGTTATAGTCACTGACTGTGTTTTAGTTCCAGTATCACCAGTGCAGACCTGGAGAAGCACTGTACCATGAGCTTAACCTAATTCCTGTCCATAGGGTCTCTTTGGGGTGACCCAGCCCTCACAGCCCGGAGGCCTTTTTGGAACAGCTGCCAATACAAATGCTGGGACTGGGTTTGGAACTGGAACTGGGCTCTTTGGACAACCCAACACAGGATTTGGTGTTGGCGGTTCGGTATGTCTGTGCTTTGTTACACAAAAGCAGAACTAGAGGAAATGAAATGGGAATAAATGGTTTAGGAGTCCTCTTCCGGGGTGCTGACCTGCATGAAAATACCCATTACCTTAGATCTCCTAACTTAGGTGTCTTAACTTAAGAGTTAAGGTGCCCAAGATTCAGAACTAGTGGGGTTTTTGTGAACTGAAGGGAAGAGCATAAGCATGTGCATAGGAGGTGTGGTAGAAATAAGGCCAGGTTGGACACAGGGGCTTGGAGCAGCCTGCTCTAGTGGAAGGTGCAGCTGCCCATGGCAGGGGGTTGGAACTGGAGGAGCTTCAAGGTCTGTTCCAACCCAAACCATTCCCTGATTCCATAAGTAATGTCTTGAGTGATAAAACACAGGAGAGACCTAGGGAAGCCTCTGGGTAGCGTTGAAAATAGAGATGCTTAAGTTGTGATGATGATGATGGTGACTTAACAGAACTTGGTTATGATATCTGGTCATCCTGGGTGTAATGGAGTGCAGTTAGGTTGGAAAACCCCTTCAGAACAAGTCCAACTGTAATACTTGCTTCCAGAAGGTGCTTGCTGCACACTAGTGCATGTATGTGTGCAGATAACACCATGCTGGGAGCCTGGGTTGTGTGGCTTCACCTCTGCTTGGCTTCAGTTCTGCTTTCTTCCTTAACTGTGTAGCAATGAATGAGTCCATCAGGGTTCCCCATTGATGTTTCTCCCTTCTAGACCCTGTTTGGGAACAAGCCTGCTGGATTTGGAACCACCACGACCAGCGCTCCCTCGTTTGGTACCAGCACCGGTGGCGGGCTCTTTGGTAACAAACCAACCCTGACTTTAGGAACCAATTCAAACACTTCCACTTTTGGTACATATTTAAGAAGTGGGGTTTCAGTCACTTAGCACTGTACTGCATATACCACACACACTTGGCTGCTGAGTGTTGCATGCTAAATGTTCTGGGTGTTAGGATTCTCAGGTAAGCCGTGCTCCTGATGCATGTTGCTGCAGGGGAGCATCGTCAGTACCTTTTTATACCTTTCCTCTTAGAGAGGATGCTGGTTTGCCCCAATATGGCAATTCCAGGCACAAATCCAGGCTGGGGAGGACTGGATGGAGCAGCCTGAGGAGAAGGACTTGGGGTGCTGGGTGAGGAGAAGCTCCCCATGACCCAGCTTCAGGGTGCGCTTGAGCCCAGAACCCCCCCGTGTGCTGGGCTGCACCCCCAGAGCGTGAGCAGCAGCTCAGGGAGGGGATCCTGCCCCTCTGCTGTGCTATGGGGAGACCTCAGAGCAGCTCCAGTGCCTAAAAGGGCTGCAGGGAACCTGGAAGAGGGGCTTGGGACAAGGGCCTGTAGGGCCAGGCCAAGGGGAATGGCTTGAACCTGCCCGAGGGGAGACTGAGCTGAGCTCTTAGGCAGAAGCTCTTCCCTGTGAGGGTGCTGAGGCGCTGGCACAGGGTGCCCAGAGAAGCTGTGGCTGCCCCATCCCTGGCAGTGCTCAAGGCCAGGTTGGACACAGGGGCTTGGAGCAACCTGCTCCAGTGGAAGGGGTCCATGCCTGTGGCAGGGGTTGGAACTCGATGATCTCCAAGGTCCTTTCCAACCCAAACCATTCGTTGGTTCCTCTTGGTGGTGCTCCCTCAGGGATAGTGTCAAGTACTGCTGTTCTGAGAGGAGCAAAAGAGAAGCCGAAGCCTGTGCTTAAACTGAAATCAGATCATTCAGAGAACAGAGGCTGCACACACACTGGTGCCAGGAGTGAGGAAGGAAGGAAGGAAGGTATAACCGGTGATGCTGCAGCTTGGCAGCAAGTGGAAGGAGATTGTGCACTGGAGCACAGATAAAAAGGAGCAGTCAGTTCTGGTTTAACTGGAAGCTGTTGTTGGTTTTCATGGTGTGAAGGATCAAAGTCCTGAAGAACTGGGCTTTGTGTGCTCCTGTTGGCTTCTTGACACCAGCATCAGGGAGCTGCTGAACAAGTGTGTGACTGAGCCTCCGAAATGTGCAGGGATGGTTCAAGTCTGTGACCATCTTCCTGTACAGAGCTCCTGTGACATCTGCTTTGTCTTTTTGCTGCTGTATCCGAGAGCAACAAGGCTGTTCCTGGAAGTGGGCAGGAGGGTGTTTAGATGCGTCCTTTGTTCTCTTTGGGGTTATTTCATTAACTGTTCAGGTAATAAAGTCTGCAGTGAGTTAGCCTCATTTCCCAGCTGGCCAGAATAGAGATGGGGAAGACATTGTTGGGGTTTTGGGGCAGCACCTTTTAAGCACAGCTTCATTGTGGTGACCCACCCTGGGCAGACTGACCCCATCATGGTATATGTGAGAGTTGCTTCCAAGTTCCTTGTCCTTCCCTGAGTGGCCTCTGTGTTGACACTGTGTGGTGAACACTACTGCGGGTAGTGTGGGGTTTTAGTTCACCTGTGTTACCTGCAGTGGTGCAGTTGTAGGAAGAGCAGTTTGGTTCTAAGCTGTTCCTGATGTTGGTTCATGACTGCAGTTCTCCAGTCCAGTTCTGTCCCTGCACACAAAGTAACCATGGGATGGCTCCACAGTCTTCACTGTGAGAACTAACCTGGCTGATGTCAGGTTTGGATTGTGCTTGGGTACTGTTGGAGCTGTGTGCTTACAAGAGTTTGAGTTGTTCCCTTCTTTGTTGGTAAGAATCAGGGAAGTGTGTGTGGTATAAACAGTATAAAATGGGATTTGTTACTTCCCAGCAGCAGAAGAAACTTGATACACTTCATTCCATTGCCAGAAACAGCATCCCCATGTCCGTGCTGGCCGTCAGTAAAACTGGGAAGGTTGTAACACATTGGAAAGCTTAAGAAGATGAAGCACCTTCTCTATGCATCTTTTCAGTGTTATTTCAGTAGTATTGTCATTATTATTTCATAACTCAAGTATGTGTTATGAAATTTTTACCATTGAAGGCCCTTCTTGCTGCTTGTCAGTTGAACTCCCACTGTTGGAAACAGTGTGAAAGCAGACCTTAACTGTTGCAGGGCTGTCTCCGAGCTGGGAATACCTATGTATTCAAATGCATCTCTTAATTCCACCACTATTATAGTAGATTAATGAGCTTCTGGTTCTGTTCCTGAAGGGTTTGGGGCCAACACTGCTGGAAACAGTTTGTTTGGAAATAAACCTGCAACTGGGACTCTGGGAACTGGCCTTGGAACCGGATTTGGAACAGGTAGGGTTGACCAGTGTATTTCATGGCAGCCTAAGCACAGTCCTCAAGCATCAGTGATAGTACAGCCTTGTTGCTGACTCTAATGTAGATGTTTAAGCTTGAAACCATCCATCTCTGTCTCAGATAGAACCCAATATTGCTTCTAACATGGTGCCAGGTAACCTTTTAGAAACTCCAGCCAGCAGGAATTGCAGTTCAGGAACTAACAGATCCTTTGCTGTGGGATGAACTGGTTTGTAGGTTTGTCCCAGTGTTGTAGTAAATGACAGTACCTCTTGTGCTGCAGCTCTTGGGGCAGGACAGACGTCTCTGTTCGGGAACACCCAGCCCAAACTTGGTGGAACACTGGGAACGGGAGCGTTTGGAGCACCAGGATTCAATACATCAACAGCTACTCTGGGCTTTGGAGCCCCTCAGCCTGCTGTGGGTAAGTGTGGGTTAACCTCGGGTTAACTGCTGCTTCTCCCTTGTTTTGAATGTGCCTAAATGTAGGAGCACATCCCACTCAAATCCTTTGGAGGGAAAAGAGATGTTTGAGCATCTATTTGAGCACTTCTGTTCTCAGTAGCAGGGGAGACCATCTTAATGGCACTTTTGGTGCTAATTATATGTACTTTTTCAAGCTGTGGTAACGTTACTGGTAACTGCAGCTATTTTAGAGCTTCATCTTCATGATTACCCGTGTATTTTCCATCACTGAATTTGGGGCAGCAACAGTAGGTGCTCACCGAAACTGAAAAGGGAGATGTAGCATTGGCATCCTCAGTAATTCCAGTTAGGAAAGCCAAAGAGGTTTAATTTGTGGCTATTGGGGAAATAAATGGTCTTCAGATTCAGGCTCTTGGGGTACCCTGTTGTAAGTTCCAGTGGGCAGCAGGAAGCCAGGTGAGGTGGCAGAAGGCCTCTGGAGGAATGAGGAGCTCTGGCAAAGCTGAACACTGACAGGAAGCATATGGGAGGTGGAAGCAGGGAAGGGGGATCCGGGAAGAAGACAGAGATGTTGTCTGAGCACGCAGGGGTGGGTTTAGGAAAGCTGAAGCCCATCTGGAGCCAAAGTTGGTCAGGGATGTCAAAGGCAACAAGAAGCTTTTGTAAGTGTACAGGTGACAGAAGGAGGAGCGGAGGTGGCTGATTCACCTGAGGGTTGTGCTGCATCCAGATGGAGCTCAGTTGGCTGGAGAAACAGGCCAGCAAGTGCTTCAATAAGGGGAAAAGCAGAAGCCCAGAGGAGGCCATGGAGATGCTGTGAGGGCTGGAGCAGCTCTGCTCTGGAGCCAGGCTGGGAGAGCTGGGCTTGGCCCTGCTTCAGCAGGGGCCTGGGATGAAGGTGGCCTTCAGAGGTGCCTCCAGTCTCAGTGTTCTGTGACCCTCAGTATCTTCCTGTACCAGTTATGAGAGGGGAGGTGTGGCTGAGGGGAGCTCTGTCCTCCTCATGGTGAAATGCTCTCTCATGAGTGATTGCAGTCAGGTCTTCCATACTTCTTGTTCCCATCATACTTGTGTAACTCTAATGCTTGGATCTCCCTTGGAGGAACTAGAGATGAGCCAAGCCTTCACCTCTGTAGGCAGCACCTGCAATGGGACAGCATAAACCTATCAGTAAAACCAGCTTTTGGTCTGGTAAGAACCAGTTGTCTCAGTCTCCCCCCTTGCAGAGTGAGCTGCTGCATCTGGAGTGGGTTTGTCCTTTGGGAATGCACAGATTCAGTCCTGCTTTCTTGGATTCACTCTTCAGGGGCTGAACACTTCCAGCAATTTAATGGGAATTAAAAGGAGATGCTAGAAGGTGGAGAGGCAAAACCAAGAGGTTGTGGTTGCAGAGGGGACTCCAGGCCTGGGTGTTTGTTTGCTGCAGCAGGAATGTCACATTCTGCATGGAATATTCCCTCCTGCCCTTGGGAAAGTGCTCCAGGAGTCAATAGTTCGAGGCTTTGGTGGGCCAGGCTCCTGCTGCTGATGAGCAGCTCCCTGTGCCCTCAGCTTTTCACTATTAAAACCTTCCTGAATGTGGCTGCAGGTATTAATGGGGGAATAGAATCTGGTTTCTGCTCCAGTCTGCTGCAGCAGCAGTGACTGGGGAGCAGGGAAAGGAACGCTCCAGGGGGTATATAGAGAGATGTGTATTCCTCTGAGGAGATGCAGTGTCTGGAAGCCTGGCTCTTCTGCCTACTCTGGTTCTATCTGACCCTGGGTAGATTTGCTGGTTTAACCATGAAACTGTTAAAACTAAAACCTGATGTTCTCTTACAGCACTGACAGACCCAAATGCCTCAGCTGCCCAACAAGCAGTGCTTCAGCAGCATCTCAACAGCTTGACCTACTCACCCTTTGGGGATTCTCCACTCTTCAGAAACCCCATGTCAGACCCAAAGAAGAAGGAAGAGGTAAGTCCACATGAACATCAATTTTACAGATAAGACTTCTGCTTTGTGCTCACTGTATTCACTTCAGAGCAGTCAGCAGGAAAATAAGTTGCCATCTGCACCCTCATGCTGGTGCAGCAGCTTTTTATGCTCTCCAGGGTGCAAACAGCTTATGCTGTGGCTTTGTTCACTGCCTTCACCTGCATCAGAGCCTTGACTTTGGATTTCTGGTGTTGATTCCTGCTGCTAGGATAGAGATGGGCGATGGTCTCTGTATTCCAGTGCCTAAAGGGTCTACAAGGAAGATGGAGAGGGCTTTGAACAGGGGCCCCACTGTCCTCCATGGCTGGGGCAGAGACCCTTGTCTGCTCCAGGCACTGAGGCCTCCTTGCTCCAGCTGCTGGCCATGGGGTCCCCAGAGTCACTCTGCTTGGGCTGGCTGCTCCAAAGCTACACCTATAGGTTGTTACTAGCCCTTCAGTGAGTGACTGGAGGCTTTTGATCCTTGGCATTGCTTCTGTTACCTGTTGTCACCCAGCCTTGTGTCTGGTTTTGTTCATTGCTTCCCCCTTTCCTTTTTACCCCTTTTCATTTAAAAGGCCCTTGACCACACACCTTTACCAAAGCACCAGTGAGTGGTATGAAACCTCCAGGTCTCCATCTTTCTGTTGCAGAGGCTGAAACCAACTAACCCAGCAGCTCAGAAGGCCTTAACAACACCCACCCACTACAAACTGACCCCTCGCCCAGCAACCAGAGTGCGACCGAAAGCTCTGCAGTCAGCTGGCCCTGCCAAATCCCACCTCTTCGATGGTCTTGATGACGATGAGCCATCCCTGTCCAACGGGGCATTCATGCCAAAGTTAGTGTCTCTCTTGTGCTTGGGTGTGAGAGGAAGCACACTCCTGTAGAGGGTCCTGAATTCCATGACTGGCTGTTCAAATAGGAATAGCAAGAACTAACTGTAAAACTTGATGTGCCTTTGGTAGAGGAGCTAAAGTTCAGCTGAAGCTGCAAAGGCCAAATAAACTGTAAAATGGGGTCATGCCGTGAGTGGAGCAAAGCTCCTATGAGGTCAGGTAGGAATTGCTACAAGAAAGCTTGTAGGGTGTAATACTTCCTGCTGCTGAGCTGGAGGTGTCATTAGGTTGCTAATGCACTTGCTATGGAGGCAGATTTGGGGCACTTCACAGCCTGGCACAGGTTCTGCTTCAGATCCATGGATGATGTCTCTGTGTCAGATCCATGGATGATGTCTCTGTGAGAACTAAGTGATGATGTTGTGGATCTACCCTAGTGAAACTTTTGGGTTCAGGCTTCAGGAGCATCAGTGGCAACCAAATCGAAAAGGGCTTTGGAAAGCTTTGGAGCTTATTTAAAACAAACAGCAGAAAGCTTTGGAGGAAGATGCCTCCTTCCTTGAATGTCCCTCTAAGCACAGGCTTTCTAAAGCATTTTGTAACGTCTGTGAGCTTGGTTTGTCTCTAACTCAGCCTGGAGCGTCTGCTTGCTTTCCAGGGGGAGGGCAGAGATGGCATTACTCAGAGTTAAGTTGGAAATCACCAACTGATCTCAAGATCAGAACAGAGGGATGCTTGCAGTTCTTTGGGTGTAATGGGTTCAGTGATCTTCAGGCTGCAGATTCAGCCTTAGCCTGGCCACTGACTCGCTCCTGAAGTAACCCTGTAGCGAAGAAGAACCCGTGTCCAGAGGCCAGACTTGGTTTTCCTGCTATAAAAGCTCTGCTTTATAAAGCAGAGATGACTGTGGTTTAATGAACTCAGGGTTTGAAATACAGTGACCTGTGCTGCTCACACTTCCTCATAAACCAAAGCCCCAAATGGAACTCCAGAGAGAGCTTTGGTATCTCAGCTACTGCAGTGCTCTTACAGACAACTTGATGTGTCCTGAGGGTGGGAGCAGATCTCCCACAGCTGGGTTGTGGTCCCCGCAGCACACAAATTAAGCATGAAGTGTAGATTAATGCCATGGATAGATCCCAGTTTCTCTTTGGTGTGGTTTGTTTCCAGGAAGAGCATTAAAAAGCTGGTGTTGAAGAACCTCAACAGGAGCAGCCTCTTCTCTCCTGTTAACCAGGAAAATGAAGACCTGGCTTCTCCTTCGGAGTACCCGGAGAATGGAGATAGGTATGGAGATGGGTGAGGTGCTGCATGTGTGTGTGCTTGTGAGAAAGCAAACTGGTTCTGCCTGTCTCTTAGAGTTATTAAAGGAATGGTGGTTACTGTCAGGGATGTCATCGTAGCTGTGCATTGTAGCACGCTGACCTGTGGGATTTATTTGCTCTTAAACTGGCCGTAGGTTCTTCCTGCATGGTCACATACCAGTTCATTTCATCCAGAATGAGGAGTTCAGAGGAATGACTTCAGGAATGACTGCCTGAGGGGAGACTGAGCTGAGCTCTTAGGCAGAAGCTCTTCCCTGTGAGGGTGCTGAGGCGCTGGCACAGGGTGCCCAGAGAAGCTGTGGCTGCCCCATCCCTGGCAGTGCTCAAGGCCAGGTTGGACACAGGGGCTTGGAGCAAGCTGCTCCAGTGGAAGGGGTTGGGGTTGGAGCTGGAGGAGCTTTAAGGTCCCTTCCAACCCAACCCATTCCATGACTCTGGTATCCCTCTCCCAGCCTTATCTCTACATATCTTGTAGTGGGAGCCCCAGAGTGGATGTGCAGTGGTGGAGGTTGTCTGGCAAGGGCAGAGCGAAGGGGACTAATTGCTTCCCTCAGTCTACTGACCCTGCAGTTCGTGTCATGGCCCATTTTGCTTTCGCTACCAAAGACACCAGAGTTTGGATGCTGCCACGGTCCCCTCAAACCAAATCATTCAGCTTCACCCTTCCTTCCCTCAGGTTCTTCCTGTCCATGCCCCCCGAAGAAAACCACAGGCAGGATGGGGAGCGAGAGGACGAGGATCAGCACGAGGTGAGCAGCTTTTACACGAACCCCATTGCCAGGCCCATTCCCCAGCCTGCAGAGAACTCCCTGCACAAACACCACCACGACGTGGACGACACCATCGTGGCCCTGAACATGCGGGCGGCCCTGCGGAACGGCCTGGAAGGCAGCAGTGAGGATGCCTCTTTCCATGATGATTCCCTTCAGGATGAGCGTGAGGACGAGCAGGAAATGATGCATCATCTGCACCCTGCAGGTGAGCCTGGGGCTGGGGGAGCTGTGTTCCTGACAGCGTTCCATGGGGGCTTCAGTGAGGTTCTCCTCTGGCTGTTGTAGACCCTCAGCTTTGCTCTTTGCTTCCCTTCCTTTATTCTGTAGAATCCAAACCTTGGTTTCGATCTCGTGTCTAGTGTGGAATTTGTTTCTGCCGAGTCAAGAGCACTTTAACTCCATCACCCAGTGTAATATTAGACTGAGGTAGTGAGATGTGTGAGAGGGAGGAGGAGGACCCAAGCTGTGAGTGTTCTGCAGTAGTAAACAGGGTTGTCTGTTGTTCATGAGCCAGATTTCACAGTTAGAGATGTAATGCTTGGTAGTTAGCCATGTGGAAAGTGCACTGTGGGAACTGAAAAGGATGATGGAGCAGCTCTGCCCTGGAGCCAGGCTGGGAGAGCTGGGCTGGGGCAGCCTGGGGAAGAGAAGGCTCCTGAAGGGGAGACCTGAGAGCAGCTCCAGTGCCTAAAGGGGCTGCAGGAAAGCTGGAGAGGGGCTTGGGAGAGGGGCTTGGGACAAGGGCCTGTAGGGCCAGGCCAAGGGGAATGGCTTGAACCTGCCCGAGGGGAGACTGAGCTGAGCTCTTAGGCAGAAGCAAGGCTTCTGTGGAACACTGAAGTTGTGAACGTGCTGTCAGCCCCGTGCTGAAGGTGTCTGTGTTGCAGGCATTGTCCTGAAGAGAGCTGGCTACTACACTGTCCCCTCCATGGAGGAGCTGGCAAAGCTCACCAACGACAGGAACGAGTGTGTCGTGATGGGCTTCACCATCGGGCGCAGAGGTAAGCACGGGCAGCTCGCCTTCTGCTGGAGGGGACATTGCACCCATGGAACCTCAGCCGAGTTCTGCACCCACAGTGTGATCATGACCAGCACCCCTTGGTGCTGGATAACTTGGGTTCAGGTCTCATAGTGTTTCAGCCTGGTAGCACTGCCAAGCTGGAGTGACTTGAGGAGGTTAAAGGTGAGAAGAACAAAATCACCTGCAGTTGTAAAGTTGATGCACACCTCATGGTTGTCCTCATTTCCATCTCAGGTGCTATATGGGGCTGGAGTGAAGAACCTTCAGCCCAAAGTGTGCTCTTTACCCTTTTATTCAATACAAAATCATATAGTGGATCCTACTTAAATGCTTCACGTTTGTGTTGGCAGTATAAATAGCCAAGTGATAACAAAAAGCTTTGTGTGCAAAAGAGCTAGCTATAAGGAAGGTGGGAACACATCTCCAGTGTGTTGACACTGGGAAGGAGCCGTCACTGTGCTCTGCTCTGGAGACATGGCAGAGGTCCATGATAGGGTGGGGGAGTGTAGCAGGCACATGGGGCCTCTGGTATGTGACTTGTCATGGACACAGTGTGATGGTTTGGGTTGTTTTGCAGGTTATGGATCCATTTACTTTGATGGAGAAGTAAATCTCACCAACCTAAACCTGGATGACATCGTGCATATCCGTAGGAAAGAAGTTGTTGTCTACCCTGATGATGAGAGGAAACCACCCATTGGTGAAGGCTTGAATAGGTGGGGTGCAAATATGTTCTCTGTGGGGATGGGCTTTGCAGGGGGGTTGTGTTTGACACTGGTCGCCTGCTGTGGCTGCAGGCAGCTCCCAGGAGATCTGTATCCAGGCTGTGCCTTCAATCATGGAGTCATGGAATAGTGTAGGAAGAGATCTTCAAAGCTCATCGAGTCCAACCCCTGTAACGAATAGAGACATCTTCCACTAGGTTAGCTTCCCAGAACCACATCCGAGCCTGGCCTTGAATATCTCCAGGGATGGGGCATTCCCCATCTCTCTGGGCAACCTGTGCCAGTGTTTCACCACCCTCATAATGAAAAATGTCTTCTATCTTGTCTGAATTTCCCCTCTTGTAGTTTCAAACCATCACAAGAGCCCCTGCTAAGAAGTCTCTCCCCATCTTTACTTTTAAGCACTGAAAGGCCACAGTAAGATCTCCCTGGAGATACAGCATGGCACCGTCCCTGGATGATACCTGCAGGTTTCTGCACCAGAACCTGCCTTGAAAAGCCAGTTTGAGCCCATGTGTTCAGTTCTCAGCTCCTCCACACAGTGCAGTAGCTCTGCCTCCACCCTTGCAGCCTCTCACCCTTTGCTCTGTCTTTGCCAGGCGAGCTGAAGTGACCTTAGATGGAGTGTGGCCCACAGATAAAACCTCTCGCTGCCCCATCAAAAGCCCCGAGCGACTGGCAGAGATGAATTACGAAGGGAGGCTCGAGGCTGTGTCTCGCAAGCAGGGCGCTCGCTTCAAGGAATACCGCCCCGAGACCGGATCCTGGGTCTTCAAGGTAATGCTCTTGTCCCGGCTGTGAAGTGACCTCAGGAAAGGTGGAAACAGCCTGGATCTCCTGAGCATCCTAATTCAGAAACTTCCCTAAGCTTCCATGAGCTGTCTCCATCCTTCAGCTGCAGTGCAAAACATCACAGGATCATGGAACGGTTTGGGTTGGAAAGGATCTTCACATCATCCAGTTCCAACCCTCTGCCACAGGCAGGGACACCTCACCCTAGACCATGGCACCCAAGGCTCTGTCCAGCCTGGCCTTGAACACTGCTGGGGATGGAGCATTCACCACTCCTCTGGGCACCCTGTGCCAGCCCCTCAGCACCCTCACAGGGAACAGCTTCTTATATCTAAGCTAACTTCCCCTTTCCAGCTTACACCCATTCGCCCTTGTCCCATCACCGCAGTCCCTGGTGAAGAGTCCCTCTGCCATGGTCTGAGCCCAGCTGTTACAGCTGAACCCAGGACACCCTCTCTGCTATCCTTGTAGCCCCCTTCAGGTACTGGGAGGAGTCCTCACCAAGATGATCCCATCTTTGGCTTCAGACCTGCGTGCAGTGGGTCCTCTTGGTCTGTGCAAAAGCTGAACCGGCTCTAGGTGTCCCAGCCGCTGTGGAAGGTGGCCAGTTAGGCCAGCTCAAACTTGAGGCCTTCCAGAAATAGATGCCTGAATCCTCTGCATCGAGGTCTGATGTGTTTGCCCTTCTTTATGCAGGTGGCACACTTCTCCAAGTACGGCCTGCAAGACTCGGATGAGGAAGAGGAGGAGCAGCCTTCCAAAGTGGACATCAAGAAGCTAAAAACCACCCCAGTGCCACCCCCCGGGCACCTGCCCCCCCAGCAAATGGCCCTGAATGGCAAACCAACGCCTCCAGCTCAGGTAGAAGGAGGACAGTGACTAAAAGGGAATGCCTAGGATGGAGTCTGAGGAGTAGCTGAGCCTGGGGAGGGGTTGTGGAAGCAACCAGTAGCCTGGAAACCGGAGAGCAAAACCTTGTGCAATCCAGTAGCTCTTCTGACCTCCTGATGAGTGTTTGCCTGTTCTTTCCATTCAGACACTTGACATTTCACGCTGAGGATGTAGGAGGGATGGGGAAGCTTTAAACCTCTGTTTCTTGTTCAGTTTCTGGGTTCAGTTTGGCATGTTTGCACCACTTAGGAAGAAAACCTGGTTTGTGCCTATTAGATACATACTGTATAGTCACAGCACCTTGCACTGCCTGCCTTGAGAGTGCCGTTGTGCATTAGGTTGACTTTAGCATCAGTCAGTGTGCAAGAATGTGATTTCTAGTTTAAGAATGTGCTCTATTTTTATTAAAAAGTACTTTTTTAAGGCTGTTACGTGCTGGATTTGAAATGTATTTGTGTTGGATGTGACTGCTTTAAAGCTTTGTAAAACATCCTGCGAGTTGTGCCTCTCTCTTATATAGGGAAGGTGGCATTCGATCCAGGTCACTGGCAATCCCCTAAGGTCTTACATGAGTTTAATGGTAAAAAAGCCTTTTATATTGTTCTAAGGGTAGTCAAATGGCAGCTGATACTCCTGAGTTTTCCAAATAGAATTAGTATGGATGCTGTCAAGCTAAGGGAGGAGCTGCTTCATTGTGGTGAAAAGGCAGCCTACCTGGGAGCCATGCTGGCAGTGATGGGATGGAATGTACTCACTGTGCCATGTGGGGGTGGTAGGTGGGAGCTAACTGTAGCCTTTGCAATAGCTTGTTCTAAAAAGCAAGAGCAGAGAGCAGATAGCATTTTACCCCAAAACTGGGCTCTCGATTGCATACCATGGGATGGTTTGAGTTTGGAAAGGACCTTCAAGCTCCTCCATTCCCAACCCCTGCCACAGGGCAGGGACCCCTTCCATAGAGCAGCTTGCTCCAAGCCCCTGTGTCCAACCTGGCCTTGAGCACTGCCAGGGATGGGGCAGCCACAGCTTCTCTGGGCACCCTGTGCCAGCGCCTCAGCACCCTCACAGGGAAGAGCTTCTGCCTAAGGTCTCAGCTCAGTCTCCCCTCGGGCAGGTTCAAGCCATTCCCCTTGGCCTGACAAGGAGCAGACATCAGGAATTAGGTGTGACCTAGTGCTGTCCTCGCCTCTCCTCCTGCCCAGTTGGCTGTGGTGACACTCCCCAAGCTGGTACTGGGCTATAGAGTGTGGCAGAGCCCTGCAGGCCCCTCAGCAGTGCCTTGGCTCTGCAGCATCAGGTCAGCCCCAGAGTACCTCCTGGCCTAGGAGGGCTCAGCCTGTGCCATGTGAGCTGGATGGCTGTAGGTGGCTCTTGTTTTGCCCGTCTGCCCATTCCCTGTGTGTCCTGGGGAGGAGTGATGCTCACAGCTTACTTGGGTTTCCAGGAGCCCTGCATATGCATGAGCACAGGAACCGAGGCAGGTCGTGCACTGGAACTCATGCTAAGGAATGGAAGAGCACGTTCAAGTGGCTGCTCTTGGATCATTAGAATTGGGCAGGAAACGTGATGAAGGTTATCAGATGAGGCAGGTCGAGGCAGACATGGGGTCTGTAAAGATAGAACTTGGAGCTGTGCTGGAGGGAGCATTAGTGAGTGGTGTCCATACACACCTGCGCTGCGCACAGCAGATCTACAAGTCAAACCATGGTCACAAACATGACTTCAGCACTCCCTTCATTGGGCTTTAATGCAGCCAGGTCCCTGGTATCATCATTCCCTGGGACCTTGCAGTGTTAATAAATCCATGAATATTCAAGTAGTGAGGGAAGGAAAAACCTCAATTTAGATCCTTTTAAATGCTTCCTACAGAGCAGTCAATAGCATTTTGAGCTGCTTTACATGCCAAGTGGGGCAGGTTTTGACACCATGCAGTTTGCCAGGGGATTGGGGAATGAAACGCAGTGGGTTTCCTATTTTGGGGAACAAAAACCTGTTTGTTGATGGTTTGCAAGTCAGGGAGGTTCATCTGGATGTGGTTTTGGTAAGGACGTTTGAACCTAAGAAAGGTCAGAGTAAATCACACACGTTCCCAGTATTTTTGGCTGCTTAAAATGTTAGCTCTGCTCCCCAGCTGGACAAGGGCCTGTAGGGCCAGGCCAAGGGGAATGGCTTGGACCTGCCCGAGGGGAGACTGAGCTGAGCTCTTAGGCAGAAGCTCTTCCCTGTGAGGGTGCTGAGGCGCTGGCACAGGTTCAAGGCAGGGAGTTGGGACTGGGTGAGCTTTAAGGTTCCTTCTAACCCAAACCATTGCATGACTCTGACTTAGGGTGTGTATAGGTCCCCTCGGGCTCATCACTGAGGTGATGCCATGTGATTGCCATCAATAGTATCATAAAATCAATTCTTCCTCCTGCCTTGAGCTACTGGTGGTTATGGGAGATTGAGCTGCAGGTTGGAAGAGAACTGCATTCACCGTCACACTGCTGACACGCAGGGATAAGTGCACCATCAGTGGCACATCAAGCCTCCAGCTCTCCAGTCCTGTGCCAGTTTGGTCCAGGTTTGAAGCTGAAAACAATGACATGTGTGCACACACACGGTCCATGACCCAGTTGCAGGTGATCTTCAAGGGGACTGGTGTCCATTTGAAGGCCTTGGTGGAGAACAGGCCCAATGGTTTTAGTTTGTACCCCATCGCAGCAGCTCCTGCAGCAGCTCCTCTGCTCTCAGCCACACGTTGGTGCTGGAGAATCGTTCAGTGCTGTCCTCTGGAGGCTGAGCTGAGGCCTCTCCGTGTGGCAGCCCTTTGAGGGGGGGAAGGCAGGGTGCACAAAGCTTCCTTTTTGGTGGCCATGTGAGAAGGGGAAGCTGCAGAGCAGTTCCTTACTGCCTGGTGGATCGTGGTGAGCTCCAGGATCACATCGCTGAACCCTCACTGTAAGTGGCACTCTTGTTCCAACCCGGAAGAAGACAGGAGTAGGTTGTGTGTGTTCATCTCTAAACTTAATGGGATGTGGAGGCTTGGCCCAAGCAGGGGAGTCCTGCGCTCCGCTTGCAGGTGATTGCTGAAGCTCTTGAATCCCCTCTCTCTCTGCAAAGCTCTTGCACGCTGTTGTAGCCTGACCCAGCCTTTGCCTGTCCCTGCAGAGCCCAGACGTGGAGCAGCTGGGCAGGATGGTGGAGCTGGACAGTGACATGGCTGACATCACCCAGGAGCCCCCCCAGGAGCCCCTGCCCGAAGACAGCATCATGGAAGAGCAGGAGGCAGTGCCTGCTTCGGCGCACATCGCATCCACTCTGGGCATCAACCCCCATGTGCTGCAGGTGGGTGCCCTGTGACAGCCCCTCTCTGGAAGGAGCCCTTGGTAGTGTCTGTCACTGACAGCTCAGTTTGCCTCCCCAGGTACATACCAGGTAATGTACTCCCAGTACAATCCACCCTTCCAGTGCCTAAAGGGGCTACAGGAAACTTGGAGAGGGGCTTTGGACAAGGGCCTGTAGGGGCAGGATGAAGGGAATGGCTTTAATCTGCTAGAGGGGAGACTGAGATCAGGTTAAGCACGGGGGTTGGAACTAGATGAGTTCTCTTTCAAACCATTCTGTGATGAAGATTTTCATGTATCTATGGTTTACCACAAACACAGAAGCCTAATTTCTAAGTGGTAATCATAGACTCATGGAATGCTTTGGGTTGGAAGGGACCTTAAAGCCATGGGCATGGAATGCAAAAATCAGACTCATCTGAAAGGTAGAATTCTGAGGGGTGGGATAAGATGAACTGATCCCTACATAGGATGCCCTGGGCCCAGTTGGTGGGAAATGGGAATTGGAAATGACCACAGGGTAGTGGGAGAGCTGGTCTTGGTTTGGGGGTTGGTGTTACTAGAACCATAGAGTGGTTCGGGTTGGAAAGGACCTCAAGATCATCCAGTTCCAACCCCCTGCCATGGGCAGGGACACCTCACACTAAACCATGGTACCCAAGGCTCTGTCCAACCTGGCCTTGAACACTGCCAGGGATGGAGCATTCACAACCTCCCTGGTTCTTGTCTGGTGGAAGGGTTGTGCCTTCAACACCTGTGGGCTTCTGCTTGGTACTTGAATTTGTAAGGAGAACCCAGCCCTGAGGTTTGTAAGCTGATAAACAAGTAGAGAGAGCAGAGAGCGGAGGGAACAGGATTATTTGGGGACTTCACACGCACCCCTCCCCAGGCCCGTGACACTGATGGGAGCAGTTGGTTGTCAGAGATCCTCATCCCCTGAAGCTCACTCCTGCCTCCACTGTCACTGGGAATCCTGGTAGCATGTGGAGGTTGTCTGCTCCTGTGCAGCTGTACCGGTGTTTTGGGGGGGAAGGAGCTGAGCAGATCAGCTGCTGCTGTGAGGGAGCTCTAACGTGCAGCCCTGACTTGCCACCTCTGCAGATCATGAAAGCTTCCCTGCTGGCTGATGAAGACGACCTGGATTTGATCCTGGATCATCACCCTGGGAAGCAACCTGTGAAAACGGATTCTTCTCAAGAGATCTGCTCCCCGAGGCTCCCAATCTCAAAGCCCCATAGACAGAAGAGATACTCAGGTACGGTGAGAAACCACCTGTCTGAAGAAAGAGGGTTTGGTCCTGATACTAACAGAGTCCTGTCACTGCCTGAGCACTGTGGTGGGTCAGCTCTGGCCAGCAGCCTGTTGCCCACCCAGCCACACTCTCCCTCCTCCTCTTCAATAGGATGGGGGAGAAAATGGGATGAGAAAAGCTCATGGGTTGAGATGAACACGGGGAGATGCTTCCTCTTGTGACAGCATCCATGAATCAGACTTGGCTTATCGGCTGAGACAGTTGGGGCTGTTGAGCCTGGAGAAGAGAAGCTGCATGGAGACCTCAGAGCAGCTTCCAGTGTCTGAAGGGGGCTATAGGGATGCTGGGATGGACTCTTCATTAGGGACTGCAGTGACAGGACAAGGGGTGATGGGTTAAAACTTAAACAGGGGAAGTTTAGATTGGATCTAACGAGGAAATTCTTCCCTGTGAGGGTGCTGAGGCACTGGAATGGGTGCCCAGGGAGGTTGTGAATGCTCCATCCCTGGCAGTGTTCAAGGCCAGGTTGGACAGAGCCTTGGGTGCCATGGTTTAGAGCGAAGTGTCCCTGCCCATGGCAGGGGGGTTGGAGCTTGAGGATCTTAAGGTCCTTTCCAACGCTAACTGTTCTATGATTCTATGATTATGTAAAATTAATGTGTTGTCAGTTAAAATAGGTTTGGATAGTGAGAAATGGAGACAAACTGGAGCAGCACTTCTGTACTTCATTATGGGGGTGGTGGGCACTGGCACAGGGTGCCCAGAGAAGCTGTGGCTGCCCCATCCCTGGCAGTGCTCAAGGCCAGGTTGGACACAGGGGCTTGGAGCAAGCTCTCCTAGTAGAGGTCATTGGAACCAGGTGGTCTTCAAGGTCCCTTTCAGCCCCCCCATCCCATGAGTCCATGAGTGCACTGCTCAGACCCCAGCGCCCCGCTCATGTTCTTCCTTCTCCCTTGCAGTGGGTGGGCTCCTGCAGTCCAAGTTCGCCGCTGTGATCTCCCAGAGCCCCGGTGCTGCTGGGCAGGAGCTGCAGGGGCCGCAGGCTCCGGGCAGCCCCGCTCCTGCCCCCTGCTCCGGGACGCCTCCGCTGAAGCCGGTGTTCTCCGTCCCACCGGCGGGGCCCGAGGTGCAGATGAGAGCAGTGGGGGTGCGCAGGCAGCAGGGCCTCGTGCCCCTCGAGGCGTCCGTGGCCCACAGGAAGGGGAAGCTGCTCATGGACATGGCGCTCTTCATGGGCCGCTCGTTCCGCGTCGGCTGGGGACCCAACTGGACCCTCGTCAACTGTGGAGACCAGCTGAGTGCGTCGGCTGATGTGGAAGATCCCCAGCGTGACCCGGTGGAGTACGGATTCCTGCCGGCTCCCGTTGCTCCCAAGCCGTGAGTAGCACTTCACAGCATCACAGTATGGTAGAGATGGGAAGGGCCCTCAGACGCTCATCCAGTCCAATCCCCCTGCAGAGCAGGAACACCCAGATAAGGTTACACAGGAACGGGTTTTGAATGGCTCCAGAGAAGGAGACTCCACAACCTCCCTGGGCAGCCTGGTCCAGTGTTCTGTCACCCTCACTGAGAAGAAGTTTAAGTGGCACCTCTTGTGTTCCAGTTTGTACCCATTGCCCCTTGTCCTATCATTGTTTGCCACTGAGAAGAGCCTGGCTCCATCCTCGGGACACTCCCCCTTTATATATTTATATACACTAATAAGGTCACCCCTCAGTCTCCTCTCCTCCAAACTATAGAGACCCAGCTCCCTCAGTCTCTCCTCATAAGGGAGATGCTCCACTCCCTTCATCATCTCAGTTGCCCTGCGCTGGACTCTCTCCAGCAGGTCCCTGTCCTTCTGGAACTGAGGATCCCTTTGGGATGGCTCTGGTGATGCTCTCTGTGTTTGAAAGAACCCTGACTGTAGGTCCGTGTTCCTTCAGAAGTGGTGCAAGACCCCACTGGCCATGGAGATACCCATCAGGTTGCTACTTCACCAGACTCTCAAAGACCTGGAATGTTGTAGTAGGAGCAGTCAGGTTCTTACCAGTAACGCTGTCATTGTGCTGAAGGTTAAAGAGTTGTTGCCCAGGAAGCTTTAATCTGCTCCTGATCCTCCCTGAGGGTATCTGACCTACCCAAGGGATTTCTTGTTTAGCCTTCCTCGCACGTCTTCCGTTCTGCTTTTGTGCAAAGCAGAGTACAGAGCCTCCCAGGGCTGTGTAACTCCAGCCCTAACCATGCCTGGAGCATAGCTGGGTGTTCTACCTCTGGTCCTCCAAAACCCTTGTTTGGATGCTCTCCAGCAGATGGGATGTGCTGAGAGAATGAGGTGCCCTCTCAGGATGCTCTGTGAGCAGTGAGGTGTGCTGCTTGCCTTTGCAGAGCCTCAGGTGCAGAGTTCAGTGAGGTTTGATGGGCAGAGGCTGGTTCAATGTCCCAGGCTGTACCCAGGGTTTCCATAGCTGGCTGTTGAACTTGGATCACATCTTTTGTCTGTCCTCATGCTACAGCTGGGACAAGCTGCACCATGCAGCAGCTCCGTGGTGGGGCAGTTCACGTGGATGGAGAACAATTCCAAACGTTACTACCTGCTTCTATCTCCCTTCCTCCTCCAGGCTCTCAGAATCCTCTTTCAAGGTTCACGTGGAGAAGCTGAGCTTGGCACAACGGACGATGGACAGAGAAAACCAACTGTATCTCATCCCTCTGGAGATAAAGCTCAAACACAGCACTGTCCATATGGATGAGCACTGCCCTCTTCTAGCGCCTAACCCAGGAGTTTCTGCTATCCATGACTATGCTGACTGGGTCAGGAAGGCATCTGAGGATCCTGCAGTGACAGAAGGTGAGGCTGGAACCTGGACACTGTCCAGTTCAGGGTGATTTCAGGCTGAGAGAGCTGGGCTTGTTCCACTGGGGAAGAGAAGACTCCTGAAGGGGAGACCTCAGAGCAGCTCCAGTGCCTAAAGGGGCTGCAGGGAAGCTGGAGAGGGGCTTGGGACAAGGGATGGAGGGATGGGATGAGGAGTAATGGCTTCAACCTGGAAAAGGGAAGAGTTAGATGGGACATTGGGATGAAGCTCTTCCCTGTGAGGGTGCTGAGGCGCTGGCACAGGGTGCCCAGAGAAGCTGTGGCTGCCCCATCCCTGGCAGTGCTCAAGGCCAGGTTGGACACAGGGGCTTGGAGCAAGCTGCTCCAGTGGAAGGGGTCCCTGCCCGTGGCAGGGGTTGGAACTTTAAGCTCCCTTCCAACCCAAACGATTCCAGGACTTCAGGTTTCCTCTGTGCAGTGCAACAGGGAAATGGGGCTGTGCCAGTGGTCCTTTGGAAAGCACAAACGTGGTTGGTTCCATGTGGGGAGCTCCCTCCTCCCTGCATGCACTCCTGACAGTAGGGTAATGCTTCTGGATATCCTGCAAGCTTCTGCTCGTGATCTTCGAGCCGTTCCTCGATGCTCTTCCATCAGTTCTCACTGTGTCCTCACAGGTACGGTGAAGCACTGGTGCTTGGCATGGACGCTGTGCGAGGCGCTCTGGGGGAAGCTGAAGGAGCTGGAGGCCAGGCTGGAGGCGCCCAGGGAGTACGTGCTGGCCCTGGAGCGCAGGAGAGCCTTCTCCCGCTGGCTGGCGGCCACGGCGGCCGCACGCATCGACCAGGAGGTGGCCATGGCCCGGCACGGGAGCCCCGTGGAGGCCGTCTTCAGCTGCCTCACCGGGAGGAGGATCGGGGAGGCCTGCAGGCTGGCCCAGCAGTCAGGTGAGGCCCTGCAGCGCCTGCTCCTTGCAGCAGGGTGCTCTGGGTTGAACCCAGCCGCAGGCTCAGCACCGTGCGGTGCTCGAGGGGGTGGGAAGCACATAAATGGCACAGGATGAGGTAAAACCAGCTTGGTCACTAAAGGGCAGTGTAACACTGCTGCTAATAATAATGATAAAGGGGAGTGTTGGAGACCTCAGAGCAGCTTCCTGCGTCTGAAGGGGGCTACAAGGATACCGGAGAGAGGCTCTTCATGAGGGACTGCAGTGACAGGACAAGGGGTGATGGGTTCACACTGAAACAGGGGAAGTTAGCTCAGATAGAAGTGAAAGCTCTGCCCCATGAGGGTGCTGAGGCGCTGGCACAGGGTGCCCAGAGAAGCTGTGGCTGCCCCATCCCTGGCAGTGCTCAAGGCCAGGTTGGACACGGGCTTGGAGCAAGCTGCTCCAGTGGAAGGACAGAAGGTTGGAATGGGGTGATGTTAAGCTCCCTTCTCAACCCAGATCATTCCATGCTTCTGTGATTTTCAGACCTTGATGGCTGGTTTAATCTTGGTCGTCCATGCTGGCTCACATCTTTGAAGTTCTCCATTTCTCTCCTCTGAGGAATCTGTCCATCCCGTTTTGTCTTCTCCCCTCACCCCCATATAGGGTGTTTGTTTCATACTGTGGTTTAGTTCGTAGCCAATGGTGCACACACACCAGCTGAGCAGCTCTGGCCTGATCCAAGTGCCCCCCAGCTCCCAGGGACACTGGTGGGTGGAGGATGTGCCTGATGTGCTGCTGTGTCCCGTTGCAGATGACCACAGGCTGGCTCTGCTCCTGTCCCAGCTGGCCGGGAGCCAGCCTGTGCGGGACCTGCTCACCATGCAGCTGGTGGACTGGCACAGGCTGCAGGCAGACTGCTTCATCCAGGACGAGAGGCTGCGGATCTTCGCCCTGCTGGCTGGAAAGCCTGTGAGTGCTTTGCCTCTTCCCTTCCTGAGTTCCCCTCCTTGGCAGCAGCACCCGAGCACAGCGCATGGTGTGCAGCAGGAGAGGAGGACAAGGGGGTGGTGGGTTTTCTGTTAGTGGGATCTTAGTGTTGCACGCGTGGTTGGGGCAATCCCAAGCACAGGCAGGGGCTGGGGAAAGAGGGGATGGAGCAGCCAGGAGGAGAAGGACTTGGGGTGTCGGGTGAGGAGGAGCTCCCCATGATCTGGCTGCAGTGAGCGCTTGAGCCCAGAACCCCCATGTGCTGGGGGCACCCCCAGAGTGTGAGCAGCAGCTCAGGGAGGGGATCCTGCCCCTCTGCTGTGCTATGGGGAGACCTGAGAGCAGCTCCAGTGCCTAAAGGGGCTGCAGGGAACATGGGGAGAGGCTTTGCCTGACCTGAGTGCTTTGGCCCTTCAGGTGTGGCAGTTATCAGAGAGAATCAATATCAACGTGTGCTCGCTGCTGGACTGGAAGCGCTGCGTGGCCGTGCACCTCTGGTACCTGCTCCCTCCAACAGCTTCTATTTCCCAGGCCCTTGCCATGTACGAGTTGGCCTTTCAGGTAGGTCAGTCATTGGTGTGGGGAGATGTTACTCAGTGCCAGTGACTGATGCTGCCCTGAGCACTCGGGTGTCCCTGTGGCAGTGCTGAGTGTGGAGCTCACTCTGCATGGGTTCATTATTTCAGTTGTCAGAGCCCTTCACCAGCTCTACGATGAGTTGTTGCAGCAGTGCACTCCAATAGGAATGTTCTTTTCAAAGGAATAAAGCCCCAGGGTTGAACCTGTTGGTGATTCCAGCCACTCCTCAGGTGGTAGCAATGCATTTTAAGATGCATTAAGCAATGCATCTTCCGCTGATGGAGTGTCCAGGTATTTGACAGCTGCCCCAAACAAGGAAGATGGGAAGTGGCCAGCAGCAGGAGCTCTTTGAGCCAGGCAGCAGGCAGTTTTCCCACTGGGATGTTTAATACTCAGCTGTCTGACTGTCAGGTAGTCTTTGAGCCATCCACCCCCTTTGTTTCACTGAGTGTTTTACAGCAGACAGCAGCCGAGCTGCAGGCAGTGAGAGGCTGATGCATTATGCAGAGGCTGCTTGGTGCTGCAGAGCTGTCAGCCTCTGGGTACAGACAAAGGGCTCTGTGGCAAGAAGTGTTTAATCATTTAACTAAAGATCCCTCAGCCTCCATCTGTGTGCTTAACAATAGCCCAGCATCCAGTGTAGTAACTCCTAATGGGTGCGTGCTCAGTGCTGCAGGGCTCTATTGAGGAGAAGCTCTCCATGACCTGGCAGCGTGTGCTTGAGGCCATCATTAATGCAGAGCACTGTAACCCCTGCTCTGGAGCTGGGCTGGGGCAGCCTGGAGAAGAGAAGGCTCCTGAAGGGGAGACCTGAGAGCAGCTCCAGTGCCTAAAGGGGCTGCAGGAAAGCTGGAGAGGGGCTTGGGACAAGGGCCTGTAGGGCCAGGCCAAGGGGGATGAGGCTGCTGAGCTGTGTGGAAGGCAGGATGCAGTTTGTTGAGGGTTAGCTTTAACTCACTCTTAAAACTGGTTCTCCAGAACACATCAGAGTGTGAAAAATACGCGTGCTGCCCTCTGCCTCCCTACCTGGAGGATTCTGGCTGTGTCATAGAAGAAGATGACAGCACAGGAAGGCCCCTGAGGGACGTCTGCTTCCACTTATTAAAGCTCTACAGTGACAGGTAAAGAGTCCCAAAGCTTCTATAGATCATGGATCAGTGAATGACCTGAATTCCCAGAGCAGGGTATGAAATCAGCCTCAGCACTCAGTGAACTGCTCCAGCACTCAAACCCTGTCCTGTGTGGAGGCCCTTAGAGCACACGGTGATGCTGGTGCTGCTGGTGGTGGTGTCACTGGTGAAACTGGAGCTCTGGAGCGTGGCTCTGGGGGGGTTCTCGTGTGTTGTCTGTGTCTGAGGAGTGCTGCTTTGTCACAGCAGCCTTTTTGAAGGCCTTGAGCAGCCTGCAGGAGGGTTTAAACCATGGCAATCCTGTACTAAAGGGAAGGTGGTGACAGGCTGGGGGCAGGCTCGGAAGAGCAGAAGGATTTTAACTGTTACTCTTATCTTTTTATTATCTCATTATCTAAAATCAAAGCAGCCCCCCCACACACACCCCCTGTAGATCACATCTGTGGAATAACCAGAGGTGGGTGGAGGGAAGGAGCTGAGCAGCACCAGGCTCTGGCTCTGTACTGTTCATGCTGCCCCTTTCCCTGCAGGCACTACGACCTCGACCAGCTGCTGGATCCCAGGAGCATCACATCCGACCCCCTGGACTGTCGCTTGAGCTGGCACCTCTGGGAGGTGCTCAGGGCCCTGAACTACACCCACCTGAGCCAGCAGAGCCAGGGGGTGCTGAACACCAGCTACGCTGCCCAGCTCGAGAGCGAAGGCCTCTGGGAATGGGCTGTTTTCATCCTGCTGCACGAGCCCCAGACACAGTGAGTGAAGAGCCTGTTGTGCCTCTTGCCTTCAAAGCAACAGTGGGGTCTGTTCCATTCGTGCCCTTTTCCATTGCCAGTGCATGTAACACACTCTGCTGCTGCCTGCCTCAGTCACAGAGCCATTGAATCAACAGGGTTGGAAAAGACCTATAAGGTCACTGAGTCCCAGCGCTGCCCCATGGCACTGAGGCCTCGTCCCCATGGGGTGTGAACCCTTGCAGGGCCGGTGCCTGCAGCCCTGCCCTGGGCAGCCTGTTCCAATGCCTGAGCACCCTCTGGGGCAGGAATTGCTCCTCAGCTCCATCTAACCCTGCCCTGGTGCAGCTTGAGGCCGGTTCCTCTTGTCCCATCCCTTGTTCCTTGGGAGCAGAGCCCAGCCCCTCCTGGCTCCATCCTCCTCTCAGGCACTTGGAGGCAGCCATCAGGTCCCCCCTGAGCCTTCTCCACACTGAACCCCCCAGGTCCCTCAGCCCTTCCCCATCACCCCTGTGCTCCAGGGCCTGCACCAGCTCCATTCCCTTCCCTGGCCCTGCTCCAGCCCCTCAATGTCTCTCTCGCAGTGAGGGCCCTAGAGCTGGGCACAGTCACTTGGAGCCTGCCTGTGGTGTGATGGGGGGGTGCTGTTGGGGTGACCCCTTTGTCTCTGCCCAGCATCCGGGAGAAGGCGGTGCGGGAGCTGCTGGGCCGGCACTGCGTCCTCAGCGAGACCCCCGAGTCCTGGGCCAAGGAGACGTTCCTGACACAGAGGCTCTGCGTCCCCCCCCAGTGGATTCACGAGGCAAAGGCGGTTCGGGCACGGATGGAGGGCGACAAGCACAAAGAAGCCCTCTTCTTGTTCAAGGCTGGGCACTGGAACCAGTGTCACAAACTGGTTGTCAGGCACTTGGCCTCAGGTGAGTCTGCTCTGCTCTTCAGTCTGCCTCTGGAGCAGGGCACACGGGCACAGGAGGGGCAGAATCCTCGGGTGCTGGGGACCAGGAAGGGGTCAGGCTGTGTTCATCGTGATGGGGTGTTAGTGCTTGGCTGTGTCAAACAGCCCTCACTGATACCTGCTTGTGGATGAAGTATTTGTGGCCATGGCTGGTGCTGTCAGGGAGCCACCAAACTGCCCCAGAGTGGTGTCGTTTCCTTGCTCTGTCTGCTCCTGACACACAAGAAGCCCTTTTGCTCCATTCCTCCCACTCTTGTTCTCCTCAGATGCCATTATCAACGAGAACTACAAGTACCTGAAGGGATTCCTGGAGGATCTCGCCCCTCCAGAGCGCAGTGCCCTTATCCAGGACTGGGAGATGGCAGGATTGGTCTACCTGGATTACATCCGTGTCATTGAGATGCTGGACAGGATTCAACAGGTAACACATAGAAACACTTGCATTGGTTTCTTCCTTCAGTTTGGAAGCTCCTGTGGAGTTCTGATTTGGAATAACCCTTTCCTCACTGTCAGTGTTAGTGTTGGTGTCACCCTTCAAACAGCACATGGGGCATGTCTGAGAACGGGGAGGTGGGGAAGATCCTGTTGAAGTCAGATAGAGGGTGGATTGGAGCAGCGTGGTCTAGTGGAAGGTAACATAGACAAAGAAGTCACTGTAACTTACTTGTCAGTGGCTATGGGGTAAAAACTCTATGTAACCCCAGATCATAAGTTACAGAGTCATAGAACAGTGAGGAGTTGGGCAGCCCCTGCTGAGCTGCCAGGCTGGGGCTCGTGGTGCTGGGTGAGGACAGGTTCTGGCAGGCCAGGGCGGCCCAAGGGCAGATTTGGGCTCTGTTTGTCCTGGTCCTGGGGCTTCTCTGTTCAGGTGCGGTCCCCGGCCCTGGCAGCAGGGGATGGGTGAGGAGCACGGCTCTGTCCTGGCCTGTCCCGGCCCTCCCTCCCCTTCAGCAGAGGGCACCGGGGGACGGAGCCACTCAGGGTCCCCAGAGGGGTCCGGGTTCTCCAGGAGCAGCCCCGGGGCCGTGTCCAGGCCAAGCCCCATGCAGGAGCTGGGAGCCTGCCCCCATCCTTCCTCCTGCTCCAGGCGAGCAGGGCTCAGGCTCTGGTGCAGCCCCGCAGTGCAGTTCCCAGCAGTGCTGCTGCAGGGGGAGGGACAGGAACGGGTCCTGCAGCAGCCTCGGCGCTGGGGCTGGTGCTGCAGGGGCCTCTGGGCGAGGGCAGGAGGGTGCTGAGGAACGGGGCCGAGATGGGGAAGTGCAGGCGGGGTCCAGCTGCAGGGGGCAAAGGGGGAGAGAAGGGGAGGGGAAGGGGAGCAGAGGGGAGGGGAGGAAGGCTCCGAGGAGGAGGAGGGGAAGGAAGGGGCAAATCAGAGGGGAGAGCTCGGGGAGGAGGGGCCCTGGGGGCAGAGAGGGGGCAGCTCTGGGCTGGAGGCAGCAGCCGGGGCCTTGGGGCCTGCCAGGGGCTGCTCTGGGGGTGCCCTCTCTGCTGCCAGGGGCTGCTCTGGGGGTGCCCTCTCTGCTGCCAGGGCTGCTCTGGGGGTGCCCTCTCTGCTGCCAGGGCTGCTCTGGGGGTGCCCTCTCTGCTGCCAGGGCTGCTCTGGGGGTGCCCTCTCTGCTGCCAGGGCTGCTCTGGGGGTGCCCTCTCTGCTGCCAGGGCTGCTCTGGGGGTGCCCTCTCTGCTGCCAGGGGCTGCTCTGGGGGTGCCCTCTCTGCTGCCAGGGCTGCTCTGGGGGTGCCCTCTCTGCTGCCAGGGCTGCTCTGGGGGTGCCCTCCTGCCCCCGCTGCCTCCTGGGGACCCCCCCGAGCGCAGCAGAGCAGAGCAGAGGCTTTCACTGCTGCTCTGCAGCCGGGTTTGCCCCTGGCCCAGCCCCGTGTCCCTGCGGCTGCTGCAGCCCCAGTGCAGCCGGGTCCTGCTGGGCCTCTCCTGCAGCAGGCACAGAGGCAGCGGGGCCGCTCGGGGGGAGCCCAGCCCCTGCTCGCTGCGCTGCTGCCCCTGCCCCTCGGTGCCGGTGAAGGCATTGCTGGGGGCAGCAGCACAGGAGGGACCTGGAGCTGCTGGAGCGAGGCCATGGAGCTGCTGCGAGGGCTGGAGCAGCTCTGCCATGGAGCCAGGCTGAGAGAGCTGGGCTGGGGCAGCCTGGAGAAGAGAAGGCTCCTGAAGGGGAGACCTGAGAGCAGCTCCAGTGCCTAAAGGGGCTGCAGGGAACATGGAGAGGGGCTTGGGACAAGGGATGCAGGGATGAGAGGAGGAGTTTGGGCTTCTGGCTGAAAGAGGGAAGAGGTGGGTGGGATACAAGGAAGTTCTTCCCTATGAGGGTGGTGGGACATGGGAATGGGTTGAAGCTGTGGCTGCCCCATCCCTGGCAGTGCTCAAGGCCAGGTTGGACACAGGGGCTTGGAGCAAGCTGCTCCAGTGGAAGGGGTCCCTGCCCATGGCAGGGGTTGGGAATGGAGGAGCTTTAAGGTCCTTTTAACCCAAACCCTTCTGTGACTCTAAGAAGTGGCTCTGCCCTGCACACGTGCTCTGTGCAGTTGGATGTGAGGTAAGTGAACAGGATCAGCACTCACTGTGAGCTGCTTCATGGGGAGCCTGCCTGTGCGTCCCCCCATTCACTTCCAGGCTTCCCCTTTCCCCGCTTCAGGTGTTGCCTCACACAGGCTGCAGCATGGCTTGGGTCTGCTCCTGGATGGATCTCAGTGTGGCTGCTCAGGGGCTTTGGCTGACTCGGAGCCTGACTCCTGTGCTTGCCTTTCAGCTGGATTGCTCCACCTACGAGCTGGAGAGGTTGCACACCAAGGTGACATCGCTGTGCAACAGGATAGAGCAGATCCAGTGCCACAGCGCCAAGGACCGCCTGGCTCAGTCAGGTACAGGAGACCCCTGCACTGCCTTCAGCTCTGGGGCAACAGCACAAGGGGTACAGGGAGGCCAGAGGAGGGCACGGAGCTGCTCTGCCATGGAGCCAGGCTGAGAGAGCTGGGCTGGGGCAGCCTGGAGAAGAGAAGGCTCCTGAAGGGGAGACCTGAGAGCAGCTCCAGTGCCTAAAGGGGCTGCAGGGAACCTGGAGAGGGGCTTGGGACAAGGGCCTGTAGGGCCAGGCCAAGGGGAATGGCTTGAACCTGCCCGAGGGGAGCCTGAGCTGAGCTCTTAGGCAGAAGCTCTTCCCTGTGAGGGTGCTGAGGCGCTGGCACAGGGTGCCCAGAGAAGCTGTGGCTGCCCCATCCCTGGCAGTGCTCAAGGCCAGGTTGGACACAGGGGCTTGGAGCAAGCTGCTCCAGTGGAAGGGGTCCCTGCCCGTGGCAGAGGTTGGGAATGGAGGAGCTTTAGGGTCCCTTCATCCCAACCCATTCCTCAATTGTGAGGAACGAGGCCCTGTTCCCCTGCAGGAGGTCTGGGTGGGTGGAGGTGTCACTGCTGGAGCCCATGGGAGCTCTCCTCTCCTTGCAGACATGGCCAAGCGCATCGCCAACCTGCTGCGGGTGGTGCTGGGCCTGCAGCACACCCCGGAGCCCCCCTGTGAGCCCGCAGCCGAGCTGCAGCGCGTGCCCCTGCGCCTGCTGGCCCCGCACATCGGCCGCCTGCCCATGCCCGAGGACTACGCCTTGGAGGAGCTGCGCAGCCTCACCCAGTCCTACCTGCGGGAGCTGATGGTCAGCACCCACTGAGCCCCCCCTAACCCCGACCCGGACACTTGTTTTGTACCACGCATCCCCCTCTCCATAAAGGTGTCCAACAGCTTCAGCACCGGCTCACGCAGGAGTCTTTGTCCCCGGGGAGCGCTGGGGCCACCCAGCACGGTCCTGGCACTGGGAGAGCTCCCTGCTGGAGCTGCTTGGCCCTGCGGAGGGGGCACGGTGCTGGCTTCATCCTCGGCCCGCTCCTGGTCCCTCCTGGTGCATGGGAAGCAGCTTGGGGGCGCTGGCAAGATCCGTGCATCTTCAGCATCGGCCATGGGTGAGCTTGAGGCAGGGTTTGGGGTTTGGGTTTGCTCATGGGGGGTGAGGGGAGAAGAACCCTCCCTCAGAACTGTCCCTGCATCCCCATGGGGAGGTGGAGGCTGGAACCTGTTCTTTATCCATCCTCCCCCTGCCTCCCTGGCCCTGGAGCTGGTCTGAGCTCTGGAGGCTTCTCCCCATCACCACCTCCAGGCTGCTCCTGCACCAGAGCCCGTTCTGCCCCGAGCCCCCATCGGCTCCCATTGCCTGTGGGGCCAGAGCTGGTGTCACCGAGCGCAGCCACCATCGGCCCAAACCCATCCCTGCTCCTGCTGTGCCCTGAACCCCCCTCAACAAGCGGCTCCTCCAGGGGCTGCTCCTGCTCTGTCCCCGTGTCGGGGTGGCTGCAGCACCTCCTGCAGTGCGCAGCGGCTTCCCCTGCCTGCGGCTCTCCCCTGGCTCCGGAGCTCTTCGTGCATGAGGGTTCTGTAAAGGTTTTTATTGGAGAATTATAAATAAATGCTCTAGATTATTTTCCTGTCTTTTTGAAAACAACAAATAAAATGTTTATAGAATTCCCACTGTTTCCTTTGCTTTTCCAGCCCCTTTCAGGGCTGGGGCCAGGGCCCTGGTCCCACCTGCAGTGGGGTTGGCTCAGGGGGAGCCTGTCCTAGGATGGGAGTAGCAGCAGGAATTGGGGGGTGGAATCAGGGAGCCCTAGAGGATGAAGGGACCCTAAAGCTCCTCCATTCCCAACCCCTGCCAGGGCAGGGACCCCTTCCACTGGAGCAGCTTGCTCCAAGCCCCTGTGTCCAACCTGGCCTTGAGCACTGCCAGGGATGGGGCAGCCCCAGTTTCAGTCCCTTCACCCCGAACCGCTCTGGGATCAGGAGGAGGCTGCGGGCTGGGCTCTGCCGGTGCTGCTCCCTCCGCCTCCTGCCGTTACCGCAGCCCCGTCCCTCCGGTGCAGCGGCTCGGGCCGGGCCCGGGCATCGCCCTGGGGATGAATAATTCACTGCCTGCAAACCGAGCCCCGGCCTTAAAACCGATCCCGGTGCTCGGCATCTGCCGCCGGGAGCGCGCTGGGAGCGGAGCCAGGGCAGGGCTGGAGCCCGGGGGATGCTGCGGTCCCGTTCCCGCTTGTGCTGCACCCCCGGCTCCCGTCCTGTCCCCGCAGCGCTGCTCCCGCAGGTGGGGTCCATCCCCTTCTCCCTTCCCTCGCTCGCTCCCGGAGCCCCGGCGCTCCCTCGCCGTGCGCTGCGCTCCCTGCACCCCAGCTCCGCAGCACCCCCCCGGGCTCCCCCCACCGCCCCAGCAGCTCCCTTCGAGCCCCAGCTCCCCTGCGCCAGGACCGCACCGGGGGCACCGAGCGGGCGGGAGGAGCCAGCCCGGCCCTGCCTGCGCCTGCCCCCGAGCCCCGGGACACCCGGCACGGGCAGCGCGAGCGGGGGCGCCCCGGACCCGAACCCGGACCCCACGGAGGGAGCGGGGTCACCCCCACGGCCCCGCCGCTGCCCCTGCCCTGCCCGGGTCCCTGCGCCCGGGATGGAGCGGGCGCTGCTCGCGCTCTGCCTCTGCCTCCTGGCCCCCGGTGAGTGTCGGGCGCTGCGCGGGGGTCTCGGGGGTCCCTGGGGCCGGGGATGGGGCCGGCGGCGCCCGCTCCATCCCCGCTGTGGTCCCGCAGGCGGCCGCGCGGCCCCGGGCAGGCTCGCCCAGAAGCTGCTCCACGACCTCTTCGCCAACTACTCCAGCGCCCTGCGGCCCGTGGAGGACACGGAGCGGGCGCTCAACGTCACCCTCCAGGTCACCCTCTCCCAGATCATCGACATGGTGAGAGGCCTCCGGAGCCTGCCCCGCTCCGGTCCCGCAGCCCTTCCCCAGCGGACGGGGGCTCCAGCCCCGCTCCGGTCCCGCAGCCCTTCCCCACCGCACCTGGGCACCAGCCCCGCTCTGCTCCCGCAGCCCTTCCCCAGCGCACGGGGGCTCCAGCCCCTGCTCCTGCCCTGCTCCAGCTCCCGCAGCCCTTCCCCATCGCTCCTGGGCTCCAGCCCCTGCTCCTGCCCTGCTCCGGTCCCGCAGCCCTTCCCCAGCGCACGGGGGCTCCAGGCTCTGCTCCTGCCCTGCTCCAGCTCCCGCAGCCCTTCCCCATCGCTCCTGGGCTCCAGCCCCGCTCCGGTCCCGCAGCCCTTCCCCAGCGCTCCTGGGCTCCAGCCCCGCTCCAGCCCTGCTCCTGCTCCCGCAGCCCTTCCCCATCGCACCTGGGCTCCAGCCCCGCTCCGGTCCCGCAGCCCTTCCCCATCGCACCTGGGCTCCAGGCCCTGCTCCAGCCCCGCTCCGGTCCCGCTCCAGCCCCTCAATGCCTCCCTCGTAGTGGGGGCCCCAGAGCTGAGCACAGGATCCGAGGGGCGGCCTCACCCGTGCCCAGTGCAGGGACCCCCTGAAGCCAGCTCAGAGCTCCCCAGTGCCCCCAGAGCAGCCCAACCCCGGGGGTCCCAGCCAGCCCCAGGGCCAGGTTGGACACAGGGGCTTGGAGCTCCAGTGGAGGGGGGTCCCTGCCCGTGGCAGCGGTTGGGGCTGGATGGGCTCTAAGCTCCCTTCATCCCAACCCACCCCATGGTGGTGCAGAAGGCACCGACCAGGCTGGGTGCTGAGGGGGGTGTGGGTGACAACGGGGTCCATCCCCTACACCCATCCCTGTCCCCCCCCAGGACGAGAGGAACCAGGTCCTCACCTCGTACCTGTGGGTGCGCCAGGCCTGGCTGGACGCTCACCTCACGTGGGACAAGGATGCCTATGGTGGCATCGACAGCATCCGCATCCCCAGCAGCTACGTGTGGCGCCCGGACATCATCCTCTACAACAAGTGGGTCACGGGACCCCCCTTTGCTGCTCCTGGAGCTGGGGGACCAGAATGGGGCTGATGGGGGCCCCCAACCCTGGGGGTGCTGTGGGGTGGGAGCAGGGGGCTGGGGTGGGTGACAGGGGGAAGCGCTCACCGCAAGCAGGGGCTGGCACCGATCCCCACACTGGGGGTGATGTGGGGCTGGGACACGGCACCGGGGAGCATCCGAGCCCCACACGGGGCCCCACATCCCCCCCCCCCCCAGCGCCGACGACCGCTTCGGCGGCTCCATGGAGACCAACGTGGTGCTGCGCTCGGACGGGCTCATCCTGTGGGACGCGCCCGCCATCACCAAGAGCTCCTGCAAGGTGGACGTCTCCTACTTCCCCTTCGACGGGCAGCGCTGCCGCCTCACCTTCGGCTCCTGGACCTACAACGGGAACCAGATCGACCTCCGGAACCGGCTGGACGCCGGCGACCTCACCGACTTCGTGGAGAACGTGGAGTGGGAGGTGCTGGGGATGCCGGCCACCAGGAACGTGGTCACCTACGGCTGCTGCTCCGAGCCCTACCCCGACGTCACCTACACGCTGGTGCTGCGCCGCCGCGCCTCCTTCTACATCTTCAACCTGCTCCTGCCCTGCCTCATGGTCTCCTTCCTGGCCCCGCTCAGCTTCTACCTGCCCGCGGACTCGGGCGAGAAGGTGTCGCTGGGGGTGACGGTGCTGCTGGCGCTCACCGTGTTCCAGCTCCTGGTGGCCGAGAGCATGCCCCCGTCGGAGAGCGTCCCCCTCATCGGTGAGCGCCCGGCACCGACCATGGGAGTGGGAACGGGGGGGGGTTTGGTGAGGTTCTGGTGTCCTCAGCACAAGAGGGACCTGGGGCTGTTGGAGCGAGGGCAGGGGGATGCTGTGAGGGCTGGAGCCAGGGTGGGAGAGCTGGGCTGGGGCAGCCTGGAGAAGAGAAGGCTCCTGAAGGGGAGACCTGAGAGCAGCTCCAGTGCCTAAAGGGGCTGCAGGGAACCTGGAGAGGGGCTTGGGACAAGGGATGCAGGGATGGGATGAGGAGGAATGGCTTCAACCTGGAAGAGGGAAGAGTTAGATGGGACATTGGGGTGAAGCTCTTCCCTGTGAGGGTGCTGAGGCGCTGGCACAGGGTGCCCAGAGAAGCTGTGGCTGCCCCATCCCTGGCAGTGCTCAAGGCCAGGTTGGACACAGGGGCTTGGAGCAAGCTGCTCCAGTGGAAGGGGTCCCTGCAATGAGCAGGGCTTGGAGCTGGAGGAGCTTTAGGTCCCCTCCACCCCAACCCAGGCTGGGTTCTGTGATTCCCTGGCTCTGTGATAGGGGTGCAGGTGTCCCCCCCTCCCCATGGAACCAGCCTGGAAAAGCCCCCCCACCAGTGCCGAGGCCGCCGCCCCCCCTGCCCTCACCCCTCTCCCCGCAGGCAAGTACTACATCGCCACCATGACCATGATGGCGGCCTCCACGGCGCTCACCATCCTCATCATGACCGTGCACCACTGCGGGCCGGGGGCTCGCCCGGTGCCGCCCTGGGCGCGCTCCCTCATCCTGCGGCACCTGGCGCGGCTCTGCGGGCTGGGGGGCGGCTGCGGGGCCCCGGGGGATGCGCCCCGAGAGGGGGGACCCAGCCCCGGGCCCTGTCCCCGGCACCGCTGCCTCTGCCCGCACGGCGCGCTCCTGGAGCACGTGGCCTACATCGCGGGGTGCTTCCGGCGGCACCGCGCCGCGCAGCGCCGCAGCGGGGACTGGAAGCGGGTGGCCAAGGTGCTGGACCGGTTCTTCATGTGGCTCTTCTTCCTCATGGTGCTGCTCATGAGCCTGCTGCTGCTGGGCAAGGCGGCCTGAGGGACACGGAACCCCCCCCCCGGTGTCCCTGCTGCTGCTGGGGATGGCTCTGGCGGATGGGGCTGAGCCCCCCCCGTGTGTGTCCTGTGATGGTGCAGGGTGGCGGTGACACCAGTGATGGGGAGGGGAGCCCGATGGAGGGAACCCAACCGGTGCCTGATGCAGGGATGAGGAGGCCCAGGCCCCTGGGGGGCTGCAGCCCCATTGCACAACATTGCATCCTCACTGCATCCTCACTGCATCCCCATTGCACCACACTACACTCCCACTGCATCCCCATTGCACAACACTGCATCCTCACTGCATCCCCATTGCACAACATAGCACCCTCACTGCATCCTCACTGCATCCCCATTGCACAACACTGCATCCTCACTGCATCCCCATTGCACAACACTGCAACCTCACTGCATCCCCATTGCACAACACTGCATCCTCACTGCATCCTCACTGCAGCCCCATTGCACAACATTGCACTCCCACTGCATCCCCATTGCACAACACTGCATCCTCACTGCATCCCCATTGCACCCTCACTGCATCCCCACTGCAGCCCCATTGCACAACATTGCACCCTCACTGCATCCCCATTGCACAACATTGCATCCTCACTGCATCCCCATTGCACAACACTGCACCCTCACTGCAGCCCCATTGCACAACATTGCATCCTCACTGCATCCCCATTGCACAACACTGCACCCTCACTGCAGCCCCATTGCACAACATTGCATCCTCACTGCATCCCCATTGCACAACATTGCACCCCCACTGCATCCTCACTGCATCCCCACTGCACCCTCACTGCATCCCCACTGCATCCCCATTGCACAACATGCACCCCCACTGCACCCCCACTGCATCCCCATTGCACAACATTGCATCCTCACTGCATCCCCACTGCAGCCCCATTGCACCACACTACACTCCCACTGCATGCTATTGCACCCACACTGCATCCCCACTGCATCCTGGTTGCACCTCCATTGCATACAACTGCACCCCCACTGCAGCAACATTGCACCCCCATTGCACCCATACTGCATCCTCACTGCAACCCCACTGCACCCATACTGCATCCTCACTGCATCCTCACTGCAACCCCACTGCACCCCCACTGTACCCTGCACCTGAGGAACCCGACAGACTGGAAATAAACCCTGGGGCGAGTGTCCTGCTTCTGCCTCTCTATGGGGGGGGGGTCCTGGGCTGGCACCGGCAGTGCCTGGTGTGGGGTGGGGGTGAGCACGGGGTGGGGAACACGCAGGGACCATCCCCTCCATGGGATGTGCTCAGTTACAGCCACGGGATCCCAGCATGGGTTGGGATGAAGGGGCCCTAAAGCTCCTCCAGCCCCAGCCCCTGCCTCGGGCAGGGACCCCTTCCACTGGAGCCAGTTGTGAGCTCTGCGGGTGGGTCCGGGCTCCCCTGTCCCCTCAGCCCGTCCCTGTGGCCTCAAGCACCGCAATGGGACCGTTTCCTTCGTCTGGAGCCTCTCTGCCTGCAGCGGGGATGGAAGGAAGGGGATGGAAGGAAGGGGATGGGAGGGGATGGAAGGGGATGGAAGGAAGGGGGTGGGAGGGGATGGAAGGAAGGGGATGAAGGGAATGGAAGGAAGGGGATGGAAGGAAGGGGATGGAAGGAGATGGAAGGAAGGGGATGGAAGGGGATGAAGGAGATGGAAGGAAGGGGATGGAAGGGGATGGAAGGAAAGGGATGGAAAGGGATAGAAGGGGATGAAGGAGATGGAAGGAAGGGGATGAAGGGGATGGAAGGGAGGGGATGGAAGGAGATGGAAGGAAGGGGATGAAGGGGATGGAAGGAAGGGGATGAAGGGAATGGAGGGGGATGGAAGGGAATGGAAGGGGAGGTCCCCATCCCTGCTGCCCGCGGGTGCTATGGGCTCGGCGGCCGCAAGGTGTCGCGCTGTACGGAAAGAGAGGCCCCCTCTCCGGATAGCCAATAGCGTTAGACTATGACGGAAGTGACGTTGCACACCTGAGCTATATAAGGCCGTGTTGCTCCCCACTCAACGCCGTTTGCCATCCACCCCATTGGTGTCTGTGAGCTGATGGCCCGAGCGGCCTGGGGTTGGTCACCGTGCCGTTCCTGACCCGGGTCGCCACGCCTCCGAAGGCAACAAGTGGTGCCGCAACCCGGGATTTCATCCCCTGGAATCGGGTGAACGGCGGCTGGAGCAGCCCGGCGGGGAGGAGGCTCCCGGACCAACAAGGAGGATGGAAGCCCTTGTGAAGGTCGCATCTCAGTTACATAAGCAGTGGGGCATTGATTGTAAACCCAAGGATTTCACTCTCGCCGTTGCGAGGCTTTTACAGATGGGGGTCATTGACCAGCCGGTGGATATTCTCCACCCTGAGGTGTGGGATAAATGCACTAAAGCGTTGTTCGAGGAGATGATGTCCTCGGGTCGTGCGAAAAGCCTTAAGTCGTGGGGGAAGGTCGTACAGGCCCTGCGGAACGCCATGCAAGAGCAGGAGGCCTGGAAGGCAGCAAAGAGCTGTTCGTTGGCTACCCCGAAACTGGGAGTCGGGGCGGCTGCACAGACTCCGCACCCCCCAGACGGTGGCGATTCTGCGGAGCCTAAAGATACGCGTGAAGGCGATACACCCCCCCGATCCCTGAATGCCGACCCGCCTACGGAGGGACAGGAACGAGCAAAACCCTTGCGGGGCGGGTTAGCGGAGGAGGACAGGGGCGCCGCGGGGAAAGCGGGGTCCGAGGAAGCCTGGGCTGGACCGCCCCCCTCTGCGCCCCAAAATGGCGCCGGGCAGGAAGAAGGGCGGGGCGAGGATGCTCCCGGCGGGAACAGGGCGGAAGTGACGGAGTTAACAAGCGCGCGTAAACGGGAGGGGGAGGAGAACCGGAAAGGGGAGGGGAGCGCGAGCGAGGGGCGGAGAGCCAATCAGCGCCCATTCGAAACGATGCCCTTATAGGGCAAGCACCCCGCCCAGCGGAAGGCGGGGCGAGTTAAGGGGGAGGGAACGGCCCGCCCATAAGGAAAGTGGGCGGGGCCGCAGCTCAACGGAAATGTACCGGAACCCGGAAGTAACCAGTCAGTCGAGTTCCGACTCCGGGTCAGACAGTAGCTGGGGCGAGTGGTTCGCAACTGATTCAGACTCGGAGGAGATGGGGGTAGACAGAGTCAGAAGCCAGAATGTCCCCATCCAAAGCAAAGAGGAGCCGCGAAGGGGACAAATCCTCCTCACCGATTGGAGGAAAGTAAAGATGGCGTGTGCCGATCGGGCCCCATCAGCCGTGCTGGCGTTCCCTGGCCGGGTGACAGACGGGGGACAGAGGGTCCATTCGCCAATAAACCCCAAGGATGTACAAGCGATTGTTAAAGCAATCGCGGACAAAGGCCTTAATTCTGCCATGGTCTCCACCCTTACAGACGGTGTCTTTGGGGGCGATGACGTGCTCCCGTTCGATATAAGACAAACCTGCAGACTGATCTTTGATGCAGCAGGAATGGTTGTTTTTAAGCAAGAATGGGAGGAGAACTGTGCGGAACAGCTGGCCCGGGTAACCGGGCTGGATCACCCCCTGCATGGCTCCAGCCTGCAGCGGTTAATGGGTACAGATCCCACAGTGATGACCCCGCAGGCGCAAGCCCAGGGCCTGCGGGCCCATGAGGTTATGGTGAGTACCCGTGTGGCCAGAGAAGCTATTCACACAGCCTGTAGAGTTATTGCCAAACCATCGCTGTGGTCCACAATAAAGCAAAATGAAAGGGAGAGCTTTATACAATTCATGGATCACCTCCATGCAGCGGTCGACTCCTCGACCCTGCCCATGGAAGCGAAGGGCCCGGTCGTAGCAGAATGTTCACACCAGCAGTGCAGTTCAACAGCCAAAGAAATCCTACAATCACTGCCGGTGGGGTCAAGCATCGCGGCCATGACCAAGCATGTTGTGAATGAAGAGCATTTAGCCGCAATCCAGGCTGCTGTTCGCACCGCAGTGGCTAGTGTGATGGCGTGTTCTAAATGTGGCCAGGCAGGCCACGTTACAGCAAACTGCCCTCGGTTGGGGGCCCGCCACCGCGCCAGAACCGGCCCAGAGGACCCTGGTGGGCCTGCGGAAAGAAAGGGCATTTCGCTAAGGAATGCAGATCTAAAAGCCAGGTAAGGGTTACTGCCGTAACGAGCCACAAGAATGGCTTTGTGGATGTTGGGGGTGCGAGACCATTGGGACAAGTGATGGAGACCAGGAAAAGAGGATGAATAAAGTATGTACTAGAGAAGTACTCATCCAACAGATGGGTCCGATGGGGTGGTAATTCAAAGAGGTACTTTTAGCCACTTAAGTCTGGGTATATTAAATCAGTTCGGGTCATTTGTCAAGAGCCGGCTAGAACAGGTTAACATCATGCTGGTAGAACGCCAACAACTACTTTAAGATGTACTTCCTCAGTGTTAAACCCGGTTGCCCCAACTTACACCCCATTACCCCCAGTTACCCCCCAGTTGCCACTTGTTCCGCGTGCCTTATATTGTTGCCAAGTTCTGATGTATACTTTTTATAGTTCTTATAAATTTGGGTCTATTTGGTTGAGCATGGAGGGGGGATGTGGGTGCTCAGGGCTTGGTGGTCGGAAGATATCGCGGTGTACGGAAAGAGAGGGCCCCTCTCCGCATAGCCAGTAGCGTCAGACTATGGTGTAAGCAGATGGAAGTGATGTTGCACACCTGAGCTATATAAGGCCGTGTTGCTCACCAGTAAATGCCATTTGCCATCCACCCCATTGGTGTCTGGGAGCTGATGGCCTGAGTGGCCTGGGACTGGCCACAGTGTCGTTCCTGAACCAGGTCACCAAGCCAACGAAGGCAACACTGGTGCCCCTGTCCCCCTCCAGCCGGGCTGCACCCTCTGGGATGCCCCTTCCAACGCCAGCGCCTGCTCCAGCCCCCCCATCACAACCTGCCCATGGGGGCCAGTGCAAGCCCCACGCACGGATGGGCTCAGCAGGAGGGGTCCGAGCTCCGGCCCCACAGAGAGCAGAAGCAGGAGCAGTTTATGGACAGGGTGAAAGCTGCTCCGGGGGAAGGTAAAAATACCCTGCGGAGGGGGGGCTGGAGCCAGCTGGGGCTGCTATAAAAAGCAGGAGCCACCGCTTGTCCCTGTGCCCGGGGCAGCGCAGGCTGGAGCTGTGGGAGCCGGGGACCTGCACCCGACCCAGGTAACGGGGGGGGACCCCATGGGCACCCCCTGCTCAAGGCACACAACGGGGCTGGGGCTTGGGGTGTCCCAGGAGGGGTGCCCAATGGGGGGATCCGTGGTGTGGGGCAGCCCCACTGCACCTTGACCCTGCTCCTGCCCCACAGCTGCTCCCGGAGGAACCGCACCGGCTGCTGCTGCTGCTCTTGGGGCTGCTCCTTCCCTGCATGGAGCGCCTGGTGCTGGGCTTGGTGCTGCTGGCGGCCGGCAGCCCCCTGCCGCTCTCCTCCGTGCAGGAGCTGGCGATGGACATGGCCCCCGCCTCCTTCGACGACCAGTACGAGGGCTGCAGCCACCTGATGGAGCGGGAGCTGCCGGAGCTCAACCGCACCGAGTTCAGCACCAACGGCCTCTACGCCGAGGCCTGGACCCGCGCAGCCGAGGCCTGGGCGCAGCAGCGCATCCCCCATGCACCGGGGCTGCGGCCGGAGCACGCGCTGGCGCTGCGGGCCTACACCATGGAGGGGCCGCTGTACACGGCCTTCAATGCAGCCGTGCGCGAGGCCGGGCGCTCGCGGCAGCGGTACCTGCACGGCTTCCCCTTCAAGGCGCTGCACTTCCTGCTGAGCCAGGCCCTGAGCATCCTGCGGGGCGCCGGCGGCCGCTGCCACCGCGCGTTCCGGGGCGTGCGCGCCCTGCGCTTCACCGCGCAGCCCGGGCAGAGCGTGCGCTTCGGGCACTTCACCTCCGCCTCCCTGCGCAACAGCAGCAGCTTCGGCTGCGACTCCTTCTTCACGGTGCACACGTGCTGCGGGGCCCCCATCTGGGCCTTCTCCCTGTACCCCGCCGAGGAGGAGATCCTCATCCCGCCCGCCGAGGTCTTCCAGGTCACCGGCTTCCTCCGCACCGCGCGCGGGTCCCTCATCCAGCTCCGCTCCCAGGGCACCAACAGCACCTACAACTGCGAGCTGGTGAAAGGTGCACGTCCCATGGGATGGGGAGGGGGCTCCCCGGCACTGGGGAACAGGAGCGGGGTTGGAGGGTGGCTGCATCCCATCAGCACTGCCAGCAATGGGGGCTGTGGGGAGGGCGCCTGGGGTGCGCATCACTGCCTGTCTCGGCAGCAAAGCACGGCTTGGAGTGGCAGAGCATGGCCAGAGACCCCCTGGAGCACTGAGTGCAGTTCGGGTGCTCAGCGTAAGGACCTGGAGCTGATGGAGCCAGGGCAGAGGAGGGCAAGGGGATGGTGCAGGGGCTGGAGCAGCTCTGCTCTGGAGCCAGGCTGAGAGAGCTGGGCTGGGGCAGCCTGGAGAAGAGAAGGCTCCTGAAGGGGAGACCTGAGAGCAGCTCCAGTGCCTAAAGGGGCTGCAGGGAAGCTGGAGAGGGGCTTGGGACAAGGGCCTGTAGGGCCAGGCCAAGGGGAATGGCTTGAACCTGCCCGAGGGGAGCCTGAGCTGAGCTCTTAGGCAGAAGCTCTTCCCTGTGAGGGTGCTGAGGCGCTGGCACAGGGTGCCCAGAGAAGCTGTGGCTGCCCCATCCCTGGCAGTGCTCAAGGCCAGGTTGGACACAGGGGTTGGAGCAAGCTGCTCCAGTGGAAGGGGTCCCTGCCCGTGGCTTTAAACGGGCTTTGGGGTCCCCTCACCCCACCCCTGACTCGGGCTCGGCGGGGACGGGGCCGCTGCTGACGCGCGGGTTCCTCCCGTAGAGAAGCGCTGCGGCGCCGCCCCCTGCTCCTTCCGCGCGGCCGAGCCCGGACCCCACCGCTGCGGAGCGACCTCGGCCGGGCCCCGCGCGGCCCCCACCGGCAGCAGCGCCCCCTGGGGGCTCCTCCTGGCAGCGCTGGCGGCCGCGGGGCGCCCCTGAACCGCGAGGAGCCGGGACCAGGACCGGAACCGGACGGGGCGCGGGGAGGCCCCGGGGATGGGGCTCGGGCTGGCGGGGACGGGGGGGGCCCCGCTCGCCTTCCCCTGGAGCCCAGAGGAATAAAATCTCTCTGTGGGCCCGGGGTCGCCTCCATCCCAGCCCCGCCTCACCCGGAGCATCCCATGGGAGGTGCAGGCCTGGGGCTGCCGCAGCCCCCATGGCACCCAAGGGACCGCGGGTGGGAGACCGGCACCCCCTGCCCCAGGAGCGGGGCCCTGAGGTGGGGGGGATGCGATGGGCTCAGGGCTCCGGGCTCCGTCCCGGGGGCCCCCCGCATTTCCCCGTCCTCCAGGGGCAGCCTCAAGGGTCAGGGCCGGCTCCTCCTCGCCCCCCCCGCTCCGCACCCGCAGCCGCTCCCCCGCAGCACTCGGCAGGCCCGGGGCTCCCCAATGCGCTTTAATGCTGGGCGGGCGCATGCTCAGCCCCGCGCATGCGCAGTGCCCCAGCGCAGCTCCGCGCTGCGCGCTCCCAGCGGGCTCAGCAGCACGCACGAGAAGTTGGTTCGCGCGTGGCGCGCGCAGAAGGGCTCCAGGCGCAGGTCCCGGCTCAGCAGCGCCCCCTCGCCGCGGGGCTCCTCCCTGCAACCGCAACCGGGCCCCGTCAGCCCCGCCCCCGCCGCGCTCCCTGCGCGCTCCCGCCCGGCCCCCACTCACCGCAGCGGCCCCTCGTGCGCGGCCCCGGCCGGCGGCAGCTGCTCCACGAAGGAGCCGTTCCCCAGCCAATAGAGGAGGCTCAGCTCCGGGAGCGCGCTCAGCGCCTCGCAGCGCGCGGTCACGCTCTCACCTGCGGCACGGGCACGCGCGCGGTCGGCAGGGCTCGGGGGGACCCCCCCGTTCCTCCCCCCGTGTTCCCGGGACCCACCTGGCCGGGGGGGGCGCTCCGGGGGCCGCAGGAGGGTGATGCTGGGGGGCTGCAGGACCATGGCTCCTGGGGGGGAGGGGGTGAGCGCTGCCCCCCAGTGCCTTTGGGGGGGGCAGAGACAGGAGCTGACCCCCGGCCCCCCCCCCCCCCCCCCTCGTACCGGTGCAGCCGGAGGTCAGGGCCCAGCAGAGCAGGGACAGGAGGAGCCGGGCTGGGGGGGTCCCTGCGGGCGGGGATGGGGTCAGTGATGGGATGGGACCCCTGAGCCTGGGATAACTGCGCCCAACAACAGCCCCCAGCCCCCTCCTATACCCTGTATCCTTCCGGCACCCCCCGGTGTTCCTCACCCCCAGCATCCCCCCTGTATCACCCCCATCACCCCTTAGCATCCCCACACCCCCCAGCACGTCTTCAGCATCCTCCCTCAGCAACCCCCCAGCATGTCCCTGCACCCCCAGTAGCAACCCCATAGCATCCACTCCATCCCCATAGCATCCCCTCAGCACCCCCTCCATCCCCATAGCATCCCCTCAGCACTCCCTCCATCCCCATAGCATCCCCTCAGCACTCCCTCCATCCCCATAACATCCCCTCAGCACCCCCTCCATCCCCATAGCATCCCCTCAGCACTCCCTCCATCCCCATAGCACCCTCTCCATCCCCATAGCATCCCCTCAGCATCCTCATAGCATCCCCTCCATCCCCATAACATCCCCATAGCATCCACTCCATCCCCGTAACATCCCCTCAGCACCCCCTCCATCCCCATAGCACCCCCCCCAGCACCCCCTCCATCCCCAAGCACCCCCTCCTTCCCCAGCATCCCCTCAGCATCTCCATAGCATCCCCGCCATCCCCAGACCCCCCATCCCCATAGCACCCCCCAGCACCCCCTCCATCCCCTCAGCACCCCCTCCTTCCCCACCCCACATGCATCCCCCAGCATCTCCATAGCATCCCCTCCATCCCCTCAGCACCCCCTCCATCCCCATAGCACCCCCCCATCCCCATAGCACCCCCTCCATCCCCATAGCATCCCCTCAGCACCCCCTCCATCCCCATAGCACCCCCTCAGCACCCCCTCCATCCCCAGCCCCCGGTGCTGCCCATGGTCCCGTCCAGCTCCACCGAGCCCCAGGTCGGTCCCCGCCAGCACCGGGCCGGTTCCTCCTCGCGGGGTCCCCCGCTCCCGGTCCCGGTCCCGTTCCCAGCCCGTACCGGGGTCACGGAGCGCAGCCATGGGGCAGCGGCCGTGGGGCAGCAGCGGGGGGGCAGCGGCGCTCGGGGCCGCCGCGCTTTATGCGGCTGCTGCCGGGCGGGAGCGGCCACGGCCGTGACTCAGCCGGGACCGGCACCGGAACCGGCACCGCCCCCGGGTCCCCCCCGTGCCGCGGCCCCACGGCCACGGCCCCTGTGCCCTACGGGTGACGTCATCCCCGCCGCCCCCCCCCCGGCCATGTCCCGTGGGTCCCCTGTGACTCCCACGGGATATCCCCTGTCCCCGTGTCCTCCCTTGTGCCACATCCCATAACCCACAGCCCCTATGCCCCCCATGTCGTACCCGTCCCTGTGCCCCCTGCCCCTGTGCCCCCCATGTTGTACCCTGTGTCCCCTGTCCCTGTGCCCCCCATGTCATACCCTGTGTCCCCAATGTCATACCCTGTCCCTGTGCCCCCTGTGCCCCCCATGTCATACCCTGTGTCCCCAATGTCATACCCTGTGTGCCCTGCCCCTGTGCCCCCCATGCCATACCCTGTGTCCCCAATGCATACCCTGTGCCCTGCCCCTGTGCCCATGCCATACCTGTGTCCCCTGTCCCTGTGCCCCCTGCCCCTGTGCCCCCCATGCCATACCCTGTGTCCCCTGCCCCTGTGCCCCCCATGCCATACCCTGTGTCCCCAATGTCATACCCTGTGTGCCCTGCCCCTATGCCCCCCCTGTCACACCCTGTGACCCCCATGTCGTACCCTGTGCCCCCTGCCCCTGTGCCCTCATATCATACCCTATGCCCCCCCTGTCGTACCCTGTCCCTGTGCCCCCTGCCCCTGTGCCCCCCATGTCATACCCTGTGTGCCCTGCCCCTATGCCCCCCATGTCACACCCTGTCCCTGTGCCCCCTGCCCCTGTGCCCCCCATGTCATACCCTGTGTGCCCTGCCCCTGTGCCCCCCATGTCCTCAGTGCCCCCGTCCCTGTACCCCTCATCCCACGCCCCCTGTGCACATCTCTTACGCCCCCATCCCCTCATGTCCCCATTGCAATGTCCCCCATCCCCTGTGCCCCCCCCATGCCCACGGACACCCCGGGCCCACAGAACCGGGTCCCACCCAGGCTGGAACCCCCGGGGCCCCTCCATGGCACCGGGCTGGGAAAACCCTCGGGAAAGCCCCAGACCCCGCCCGGCTCCGGGCAGCTCCCGGCGCATCCCAGGGGGCAGGGCCTGGATCACCGGGACCCCGGCAGCACCCGCAGAGCCCGGCGCAGGGGGACCCCGCAGCGCAGTGATGCATCCCCATCGCACGCGTCCCCACGCACGCGTCCCCCTTCGTGCATCCCCATTGCACTCATCCCAATTCATGCATCCCCATCGCACTCATCCCCACTGCACATACCCCCATCACACACATCCCCATTGTACTCATCCCCATTCATGCATCCCCATCGCACTCATCCCCCTTCATGCATCCCCATTGCACTCATCCCCCTTCATGCATCCCCATCGCACACATCCCCCTTCATGCATCCCCATTGCACACATCCCCATCAAACACATCCCCATTGCATGTGTCCCCATCGCACTCATCCCCATCACACACGTTCCCCTTCATGCATCCCCACTGCACTCATCCCCATCGCACGTGTCCCCCTTCATGGATCCCCATCACACACATCCCCATTGCACTCATCCCCATCACACTCGTCCCCATTGCATGCACCCCATTCATGCATCCCCATCACACTCATCCCCATTCATGCATCCCCATCACACTCATCCCCATTCATGCATCCCCATCACACTCATCCCCATTCATGCATCCCCATCACACTCACCCCCATCGCACTCATCCCCATCGCACTCATCCCCATTCATGCATCCCCATCACACTCATCCCCATTCATGCATCCCCATCGCACTCATCCCCATTCATGCATCCCCATCACACTCATCCCCATTCATGTATCCCCGTCGCACTCACCCCCATCGCACTCATCCCCATCGCACTCATCCTCATTCATGCATCCCCATCACACTCATCCCCATTCACACCCCAACCACCACACCCCACACCACCCCATTCATGCATCCCCATCACACTCCTCCCCATTCATGCATCCCCATCACTCATCCCCATTCATGCATCCCCATCACACTCATCCCCATTCATGCATCCCCATCACACTCACCCCCATCGCACTCATCCCCATCGCACTCATCCTCATTCATGCATCCCCATCACACTCATCCCCATTCATGCATCCCCATCGTACACATCCCCCTTCATGCATCCCCATTGCACTCATCCCCCTTCATGCATCCCCACTGCACACACCCCCATTCCTGCATCCCCACTGCACTCATCCCCATCGCACTCATCCCCACTGCACATACCCCCATCGCACTCATCCCCATTCATGCATCCCCATCACACACCCCCCATCGCACACATCCCCGTTGCACAGTTCCCCCGTGCCCCAGCCGCACCGGGGGCCGCAGCGCCCACAAGAAGCACCCGTGGCCAGCTCTGGGTCCAGGACTCGTGTTCCGGTGTTTGGCACCAGGCACCGACGCGGCTTCACCCAAACCAGAGCCCAAGGCCCCGGTGCAAGGCCCCTGCTCGCATCCAGGGCGATGCCGCATTGCGTGTCCTTAACCATGGTGTGACCCCAACCATGGTGAGTCCCCAGCCACGGTGTGACCACGACGAGTCCCCAGCCATGGTGAGCCCCCAGGCATCGCCCCGGTGACACCGCGGGTGCCCCCTGCACCGGTGCTGGGCTCCGTGTCCGGGCTCCACGGGGCTGCGGTGCAGGGAGCGCGGCTCCCACCCGCGCTGCTCCCCATGGGGGCACCACTGCAGGCCCCGGCCCCAGCCACGGCCCCGGCGGGCCCGGCCCGAACCGACCGGACCCGACCCGACCCGACCGGACCCGGCCCGACCCGACCCGACCGGACCCGGCCCGACCCGACCCGACCAGACCCGACCCGAACCCGAACCGACCCGGCCCGACCGGACCCGACCCGACCCGACCGGACCCGGCCCGACCCGACCCGACCCGAACCGACCCGACCCGGCCCGACCAGACCCGACCCGAACCCGAACCGACCCGGCCCGACCGGACCCGACCCGACCCGAACCCGAACGTACAAAACCGGAGCTCCAAAAGGGCCCCGGGACTCGGCTCCAGCCCAGCCCCGCGCTCCCCGCGTCCTGTCCCGGCCGCTGCGGGGCCGCTGCGGGGGCTCAGCCCTCGGGGCCGCAGCGGGAGGGAGCGAGCGCAGCGCCGGGCCGGGCGCGCCTCCAATGGAGACCCGGGAGCGCTCGGTCAAAGGAGCCTTTAAAAACGAGCCCGATCCCGAGAGCCCGATCCCGATCCCCGGTCCGGGCCCCGCAGGGGCGGCGCGGGGGCTCCGCTGCCCTACTCCAGCCCCAGGATGTAGTTGATGCCCTGCACCAGGCCGATGATGACGGGCTGCCAGGCCACCAGGTACCGCAGCCAGTCCAGCAGCTGCCCGTACATGACGTGCGGCCGCTCCCAGCTGAGCCGGACGGAGTTAAAGAGCCGCGGAGAGAGGAGCCGAGCACCCCCGCATGCAGGCAGGGGGAGCAGCGGGAGGCAGGACCCGGCTCCAGCACGGCCGCAGGGGGCTCATCCCCATGGGAGCATCCAGGGGCAGCCCCATCCCTGAGTGCTCAAGGCCAGGCCGGGCACAGGGGCTGGGACCAAGCTGCCCCCGAGGAGCTTCAAGCTCCCTTCACCCCCATGGTGCCAGGCAAGCGTGGCTGAGCCCCAGGGCACATCCCAAAGCCCACGGGTGCCCTTCCCAAGCGAGGAGAAAGGATACGGGTTACTGAACATCCTCTTGAGATCCACCTTCTCCTTGCAGTAGGGACACGTCTGCTTCTTGCCCACGATGCACCAGCCCCGGATGCAGAACTCGTGGAAGCTGGGAGCAGGGGGTTAAGGAGGGAGCCTCAGGGTGTGGGATGGGGGGGACAGGACCAGGCATGGGGAAACCCACCCGGGGTTCCTGGAGAGCCCAGCCCGGAGCCGCTGCACGGGGCAGGAAGCACCCCCGGGGAGGGATGGATGCGTTGCTCAACGCTGCCTTTCCTAGATGGAGCAGAACCCTGCGGGCACACAGGGGCCGTGGTCCTACAGGGGAACACCAACGTGGGACTGAGGGGATCCGTGGTGCGAGGGTGAGCCCCCAGCAGGGGGCTCTTGGTGGGTTTGGGGGTCCTGGGTGGAGCTCTGGGAAGGGCCCAAAGCCCGAGGGGATGGGGGGCAGGAGATGGGGATGGGGGGCAGGAGATGGGGGGCAGCTTGAGGGGATGGGGGCAGCTCTAGGGGATGGGGGCAGCTCCAGGGGATGGGGGCAGCTCCAGGGGATGGGGGGCAGGAGATGGGGGCAGCTTGAGGGGATGGGGGCAGCTCCAGGGGATGGGGGCGGTGGCTCCAGGGGATGGGGGCAGCCACAGGGGATGGGGGGCAGGAGATGGGGATGGGGGGCAGGAGATGGGGGCAGCTCCAGGGGATGGGGGGCAGGAGATGGGGGGCAGCTTGAGGGGATGGGGGCAGCTCCAGGGGATGGGGGCAGCTCCAGGGGATGGGGGGCAGGAGATGGGGATGGGGGGCAGGAGATGGGGATGGCGGGCAGGAGATGGGGGCAGCTCCAGGGGATGGGGGGCAGGAGATGGGGGGCAGCTTGAGGGGATGGGGGCGGCTCCAGGGGATGGGGGGCAGGAGATGGGGATGGCGGGCAGGAGATGGGGGCAGCTTGAGGGGATGGGGGGCAGGAGATGGGGGCAGCTTGAGGGGATGGGGGCGGCTCCAGGGGATGGGGGCAGCTCCAGGGGATGGGGGGGTGGCCCCAGGGCTGCCTCAGCCTCAGCGTGGATTCACCCTGGGCACACGGGGAAGCAGCAGGGGGGGGCTGCAGGGGAGCTCCCTGCAGGGGGGGCCCCACAGGAGCTGCCCCGGGGCAGGGCTGAGAGGGGCCGGGAGGCTCCGGAGCGGGGCTCAGGGAGCCCCCCCCCCCCGGTGCCAGCCCGCGGTGGAAACCCCCTGGGGGCGGGAGCGAGGGGAAGAGCCCGG